CACAGCTTGTACTGTTAAGGGGTCACAAACATCCTTGCAGGTACACCCGGATGATCAGTCCGGGCTTCCCTCTCCGGTACCCAGCTTCGTTGGACAGGGTAAGTACCAGAGAGCCCTGCCCCCTGCACTGCGACACACACACACACACACCCACCCACCCACCCTCACACACACACACACACACACACACACACACACACACACACACACACACACACACACACACACACACACACACACACACACACACACACACACACACACACACACACAACACACACACACACACACACACACACACACACACACACACACACACACACACACACACACACACACTCGTGCAATCCTCCCTCTGGACAAACAGGATCAGTCGATTGTTTGTTTCATTCCAACACAGAGGAGTAGGATGTAAAGAGGATTCTGGCTTAGCCTCTTGCCATATTCATGGCCAATCCAGCTGTGCTTCCAGCACCCAGGAACTGGCCTGCAGGTACGTTTGCCTGTCCATCTGACACAAAGCTTCGTTGGCGCGAGCTGTGTCAGAGGACCCCGCGCCCCCTGCATGAAAGTATACGAATGAATCATTGAAACCTTGGCAAACAGGTGTTCCACACACACACCCCGCTTTGCGGGGTAGCCAACAGGCTTTTGTGCTCGGCCCTTGCTTTGCATTAGGGAAGCGGAAAAAGAAAAGAAAAAAGAAAAGACAGATGTTTGCAGGAGGGCGGGCGGTTGGCTGTGTAGCCTTAAAAGAAAAGTAACGGAAACGAAAAGTAAAAGAGTTGCAGCTGGAGGCCGCCCTTCGGGCTTAAAAAACCTCTCTGGCTGCGAGCATTGAAATAGAAAGGAACTGTGACTGCGAAATGACACATGCGGAAAAAGAAAAGACAAATAAGGGGTGGCCCACATTGGGCACTTCAAACCCCGTTAGAGGACTGCGCTTGCAGTTCGCAGGTCTTACAGAATGCCGCAGCCCTGCAGCGCATGTCCTGTTAATACGGTCAAGCATCCACAGTTCGCAGGTCTTACCAAAATGCCGCAGCCCTGCGGTGCTTGCCGACCGACAGCTGAAACAGCCAGGGCGTTTAAGAGAGCAGCGTGGGTGTGACGACCAATGATACCCCCATTGTTCCGTTTCTGGCACAGCAATTGGCGCAGTCTTCTGGATCATGTGACAGCTGTGAATCTGAGTGGTGTCCAGGGGAGAACATTCTCGGACCGATCAGGGTCCTTCACTGCAACTGGGCCGATCAGGGGCATTGCTGTGACAAAACAGATACTTAGTCCCGTCGAAAACTAGGCGATCATGCCTAAGGCGAAAGCATGACAACTCCGAAGAGTATTTGCTGAAGCGAGACCAAAGGGTCTTGGTTTGATTTGAAGCCGATCAGGGCTCGGACCGATCAGGGTCCTTGAATGCAACTGTGCCGATCAGGGCCATTGCAGTAGGCAACCCTACCATAGACGACACGATCGACGAAAGCCGTCTAGAGCACACTCGTGCAATCCTCCCTCTGGACAAACAGGATCAGTCGATTGTTTGTTTCATTCCAACACAGAGGAGTAGGATGTAAAGAGGATTCTGGCTTAGCCTCTTGCCATATTCATGGCCAATCCAGCTGTGCTTCCAGCACCCAGGAACTGGCCTGCAGGTACGTTTGCCTGTCCATCTGACACAGAGCTTCGTTGGCGCGAGCTGTGTCAGAGGACCCCGCGCCCCCTGCATGAAAGTATACGAATGAATCATTGAAACCTTGGCAAACAGGTGTTCCACACACACACACACACACACACACACACACACACACACACACACACACACACACACACACACACACACACACACACACACACACACACACACACACACACACACACAACACACACACACACACACACACACACACACACACACACACACACACACACACACACACACACACACACACACACACACACACACACACACACACACACACACACACACACACACACACACGCACACACACACACACGCACACACGCACACGCACACACGCACACGCACACGCACACACGCACACACGCACACACGCACACACGCACACACGCACACACACGCACACCACGCACCCACGCACCCACCACCCACCACACACGCACCCACACCCACACACACCACACACACACACCCACACACCCCACACACACACACACACACACACACACACACACACACACACACACACACACACACACACACACACACACACACACACACACACACACACACACACACACACACACACACACACACACACACACACACACACACACACACACACACACACACACACCACACACACACACACACACACACACACACACACACACACACACACACACACACACACACACACACACACACACACACACACACACACACACACACACACACACAAACACACACACACACACACACACACACACACACACAACACCCACACACCCACACCCACACACACACCACACCCCCACCCACACACACACCCACGCCCGCGCCCGCGCCACGCCCGCGCCCGCGCCCGCGCCCGCGCCCGCGCCCGCGGCCCGCGCCCGCGCCCCGCGCCCCGCGCCCGCGCCCGCGCCCGCGCCCGCGCCCGGCGCCCGCGCCCGCGCCCGCGCCCGCCCGCGCCCCGCGCCCGCGCCCGCGCGCGCGCGCGCCCGCGCACCGCGCACGCGCACGCGCACGCGCACGCGCCGCGCCGCGCACGCGCACGCGCCCGCGCCCGCGCCCGCGTGCGCGTGCGCGTGCGCGTGCGCGTGCGCGTGCGCGCACGCGTGCGTGGCACGCGTACAGATACATGTGCATATACCCGTGCACATACAGTTGCACCTGCGCATACACGTACATATCTGCGTACATGGATTCATACATGCTTGCATGCCGAATGGGCATGCATACATACCTTCATCATACAGACACGCAACATGTGAATGTACATGCACATGTACACAAAGACGTACGGATATACATATACATGTACGTAAGCACATACACATGCGTATACACTTACAGATACATGTCCATATGAATATGCATAGGCATGTACATTTACATACACACAGACATGCAGAAATTCAGTAAGACATTGGCTTGTATGCAGCCGTTAAAAGGAAAATGAGCTCATCATTCCAGGCAAAGAAACTTCGTCTATGTGTGATGTCTCAAGGTCAACAAACGTTTCAAGTACATGTCGCAGGACCAGGAAGCAGAACCGTTTGAAGCTTCCACGTGTAAGCAAGTCGCCAGGGAGAAGAAACAGGACGACACCCACGACAAACAACATGAACCAACATGCAAGAAGTCTTGAAAGAGCAAAACGAAGAGACAGAGAAATACAGTAGCGACGAGATGGTGGGATGTCTCGTTTACAAACACGAGACCGAGCAACATGCCGATTGTAAGCTCATCGGTAGAGCTTCGCAGAATGGTGGATGTCCCAGATTTCCGACTAACAATGTGAATTTATTTCAGTTGCGGGTACCACAGCAGTGCAGATGGTTGTCGCTGCATGCCCCACTCAATGTCCCCAATTGAGCCTGAACCTTGGACAGTGCTCTGGAGCTTACGGATTGTTCAAAGTGTGATTTTTTCAAGTGGGGGGGAGGGGGGAGCCAGGTTTTGGAGGTGTTGCGTGTAAGTGGCTGACAATCACACAGACAAGATCTGCAAGCTTCAAGGTCCACGCCACTACTGCTGTCGACGGCAGTGTGGGGTCGGATTGCACTTTATTGATTTGTGCAGGTGCATGAAAAAGAGCTGAAGGCATCCATGAAGGAGCGGCCAGCTGCTGCCGTTGATCACAGAAGTTCCTAGATCGATGGTCCGTCCGCATGTTCACGAGTGGTTTTAGCGGAGTCCAGCAAAAGCCAGAGACCGGCCCAGCTCATCGGTTCTGCCCGCGAAATGCTCTCGGATTCACGGCAGGAGCGACAACGAAGCCGAAGCCGTCAGCGCGGGGGGCGAGATGAAGCTCGAGGAGGTCGTCATGACAGGCCTGAAGACTTCTTGGAGTCTTGGAGGGGGGCAAGGTTCCATTTTGCATCGTCAACTGGCAGGAACGTTTTTGCACCCTTCCTCGCTGCAAGTAACAAGCCTGTTTTGCGATCCTTATGAACAACCCGAAGCCTGAAGGGACCGTGACCGAGACCGAGATCGCGACAGCTGCATGGCACCATGGAATCTTAAAGTCTTCGTATCTTCGAGATCGCAAAGTAACTTTATACTCTCCGGACATGCTTTGGCTGTTGGTGTAGAAGTTTACAGCCTGCCTGATTCTTGTGCCACTAGCAGCTGATAAGGAGATCGGGATCGCGACAGGCGAGATCGTGATCGAGTACCGCGGCCAAAACTAGCTGGCTTTTACGTGCGAAACACACCCTCAATCATGTGCATGTGTTCTGTTCTGATGACTTGAGAAGGAAGGCACTATAGGGAGCTTGTCGAAAGAAGGTGTGCCGCTCGACCTATGCGACTGAGGACAGAGATCGGGAGCGGGAGCATGAGAAGTGAGGAATCCTGGCTGGAAAGGCAATGGGAAGCAAAGCGCATCTCTCACGTCGCACGAGCCGATGGGGCTAAGGAGAGTTCACAGCTCACTCTCGCACCGGCTTTCGGGACTTCAGGCCTGTTTACCCTTCAGCCCGCAAAGGTCAGATTTCCATGGTGTGCAATGCAATGATGAGGCTTGGTCTGTGGCTTTAGGATCGGTCTCCTACAAATGTGGACTCCAATGTTCTCGTTCTGCAGCTGCCTCGAGCTGACAGACAGGATCGAAGGTCATGAAGCCCTCGCACACCTGATACCTCCTGAGTTTGGCAGGGTAAACGATCAATGCCATATTGCTGAATGTGTCACCCACACCCTACGAAAGGCGGTGGCCGTCAGGCTGCAAATGATCTCTAGAGTTCCGTGCCGCGATCGTCATCGGTCGCCCACACGGCACAGTGTTTCCATGACTGGCGTAGAGTTGGGCAGGTGCAGGGCCATCAGAAAGGATGTGCCAGAGGTGATTGCAGTTCCCTGCTGTCCCATGAAGCAGCGAAGACCTTTCTGCAAGATAGCTGCTTAACTTCTGCTTCCAATATGCGTTCTGAGGCTGGCATGGCCGCCCATGGATCTGAGGCCACAGGCCAGTCAAAGTGACTGCAAAGTTGACGTCGTACGCTCGACCATTCGTGGAAGCTTGGGATTGCTGCCCAGATTGTCAGGTGGGGCTTGCAACACGCCCCCATCTGCATCGGGCATGGCACACAACCCACGAGAGCAGCTGCAGCTGGGCGGTAAGATCAAAGCGCAGACTCCCATTTTTCATGTGCCGCTGGAACTTTTTCCGGGTAAGGTTTGCGTCTGAGTCTTTGTTGCTGCAGCAAAGGCAGTGGCAGCTGCAGCATGCGATGCACCCAGCTGCAATCCGCTGAGCTTCCCCGCATAACCACATCACAGAGCTAGGTTCCCGACGAGCACCCTTCTTGCCACCGAGGAGGCGCAGGGGTCCCCCGCCGCCAGCAGCTCTGCATCACCGACCGGCGATCAATACCGCGAGCAGGCTGTCGGTGTTTCTTTGTTGCATCTGGCGTGGCCAGGGCCACGTCATGGTGTAAAGCCAGAGGTTCAACATGCAAGAGCGATGAATGAGACCAGCGCTCATCCGGCAATGGCAAGACGAAAGAGATCAAGGTGAAGCTCATGGTGCAGAGTACTGCATCGTGTGAAGCCCGCGTAGTTGAAGAGAAGGCATGTTTTCAAGTGTTGCGCGCACCAGACCGTTCCGAACTCACTTGGCACGTTCTTCCGAATTGATCATCGTGATCTCTGGGCGACAATACTGCTATGCAAGTATATCTAGATTCCGAGCTGGGGTCTTGGTAGGTGCGGCAGCAGCTGCGGGAGCAGCTCCAAAAGGAGGCGCAGCAGAACCAGGCATCCTTGCCGATGGAAGAGTGGATTGCTCTATCCGACAACGAGAGATGCCTGAGAGACATGTTGCAACTTCGGACTCTCCGACTGTAGCTTGCTCATTCGAACCTTGTGCATGCATGTGCATTTAGGGCCGAAGCAATTTGGCCCATGACTTGTGTACACATCCGGGCTATTTTTCTGCAAGAGCTTCGCAAAACCATATGTTTAGTTTTCATGACGTGAATGCACTGTATACTAACATCAACGAAACTTGTCAGAAGCCGCACATCTGTCGCTTTAGGGCTTTCGCTCTTCGAGGGTCAAGCGCTAGGGGAGTGTTACGACAGCAGGGAACAGACTTGACATCACGTGGCAGGACTCGACAGACATCCGGAGCTTGCAGCACAATCCGCGTGAACAGTTGCTCGGTTATGGTCGAGCGAATTTCGTTCTAAGGATTGCCGTTCTAACAGTTTGTGGCTGTGACTAATCGCTGTGACCGCTTAAGTTTCTTCGTTATTGGCAGACAGCTGTTGCTGTGCGGTTGCCCACTTACACGGTGGGCATACTTTGCACGAGTCTGATTCAAATCTGTGTCAAGACCTCCATTCCTGGAACGTCCGAATCGCAGTGTTCCTGCAGGCAACGGTGTGGTCGCTGTCGGAGCTTGGATGTAAGCTCGAGGAGAACCCAGATACTTCGAAAGCAACACTCTTGGGACTCAGCCCGATTAGTGCCCCTTAGTGTGCCCCTACAGCCCAAGCCCAGCTCGAAGTGCATACGGCCGAGGGTGAAGCAGCAGCTGCAACTCAAGGAGCCCGTGGCTTGGACCCTCGCGAACTTGTGCTCGGAGTAGCATGTTTGGCCGTACGCGAGAACGCCAATAGGCTTGCATACTTCGTGACATATCTATGGCTTGCTCGCCCTTCAGGCTGGAGCGCCAGCATCTAGACGAGCACATGCAGATGCCGGCCCCCTAGTTAACGGAGGGATCGGAGCAAGTCATAAGTGGGCGAACCTGCTAGGAATTGCCCAAGCAGGTTGATGTGCAAACGATTCGCCGTTCGTGCGGAGAGGAGAGTCTGTCCCCCTGAAGTGTCTTCGCCACTGCCTGCGAATGTTCGACCGGACCTGCGCATGGCACACCGCAAACTACCAGCGTTCATTCCCCAGTTTTTCGCTGAAGAAATCAGAGCTGTGCCTTGAGAGTGGTTGGTTTCATCTGATTTCCTTCGCTTCTTGTGCCGGTGCACGGTGACAACTAGATGATTCTATGGCGAATTTGTCCCGGGCACTGGGCAGCTGTCTTCCGGTACAAATGTCGTATTCAGGCAATGCTACTAGCTGGCTAGCGCCTACAGCTCACTCACAGTCTCAAAGAACAGAAGATGAATTGCGGAACCAACCTCGTTCAGCTGCAAACCGATAGCTAGACCTGTCCTGGCACAGGTGGCCATTTTGGTGCACTTCCATTGTAGGTTCGTAGATGAGCTGGCAGTGCGTGCCCGACATGTCGAAACGCCTGGTTGATCGCCGCAAGACACCCCGCTCGGGCTCGAAATGCGGTTCCTCGCTTCGTTTGGGCACAGGATTGCTACGTAGATGTTTTGATCGCGGTATGAGATATCGACCTTTGCAAGTGCATTCACAGAAAGATAGTCGTGATGCCGAGCTAGTTCGTGTGGTTGACCTTGGCATTGGAAAGCGATTCGTTTTCGAGAGTTCAAGTCTTGTTGGCAGCAGTCAGAGGCTGCGGCACTAATCCAAATACCTGTGCCCTTGCTTAGTTTCTCATTCATCGGCAGGCCGCTGTGCTAGTAGTTATTTGCTTCAAATTTCAGGTTGTCTGCGGGTTACAAGTTACAAGTTCCTACTATTGCTACTGTTCGCCAGGTCCTAAGCAGGCTTCTTGCAGCGGCAGTCGCAGCAGCAGCAATGGTGGATATGGTGGTCGCTACCATGCAACTGTGGACGTTCAACCACCCATTGCAAACTGCGATTTTGTAAAGATTCACTCGCAGCTAGCGACCACGCTACATAGCATCTTCTACTTGATGATACAAACCAGCGAAACGGAGACCAACATATTGGAACCGGCATGTTTCTTGAACTTAGAGGTTTCTAGAACTAAGAGGTCTCTCACATTATATCGGCAAGGTCAGCACCTTGGCAAGCGGCACAGGCCTCCGGCTGCACTGACTCACGTTCATGCGAGTGTTGAGACACCTGGGGTCGTGCAATGATGGTACTCGTCTCCAGTCGTTTCCAGTGCTACACGCGTCGTTTCCAGGCGCAGTTTCCATCCTGGGAGCGCTATGGGCAGCCGCAGGCTTTCGAATTGGGCTCTATCGTGGAGCGATCGGGGAACGGAAGAACTGTGAACCGCGGAAGGCGGACCCGATGGCGATGCAAGCTGACGGCAGCTTTATGTTGCAAGTTCCCCAGACATGTGCTTTCATTTGCTTCTCAGTGTTCTGGTACAGGCATGTCTTCAATCTTGTGTGGCAGGAAGCAAAATACTGGAGCCACCGGTAAATTTATGCCCGGTCCCGGAGCCACCAATGCATGTGGTAGAGCAAAAATTTCTTCGATGCCCTCGCAGACTCTCGCTCGCCTCGTCGTCGAACCGTCTCTCGGACCTGCTCTTGAGCATCAGCCTAGCAAATCACAACCATCAATGCGCAGCCGCCATCCGCGTCATCAGCGTCATCGCCATCATCGCCGCTCTGCGCGAGTGGGGGCTCACTGACCAAGGCAGCAGGAGGAGTACTTGGTCCAGCAGGCGCAGTGCCACCTGGGCTCCCCTTCCCCTGCGATTGTTTGGTTTTCTGCGAAAGAGAAAGTTCTCATTGCTACTTCGTGTTGAACTGCCAGAGTGGGCAGGAGTGGGCAATGCGGGATGTCAGAGTGTCAAGATTCGTCGAATAAATGCATTGCTTTTCGTAGCATGTCTTGTGCAAGACTTTGAATCTGAACAGAGAACATGTGTGGCCTAGACCAGCCCCAGACAGGCATGAACAAGTATGTGGATACACTAGCTCTCCTGTCCTTTCAGGGGTACTGGTTGCATCTGGTTGCAATTGGTGTTGGAGCCTCCGCTTTGCTTTTCGCCCCCAAGCGCAGGTCCAGCACCAGCAGCGTCACTTGGCCATATCCAGCCTCAATTCAGAATGTGACGCCATTCTGCCTTGAGCCGCCGACTGTAGCTGCGGACCGATCTTGGGGACTTCGACCGGGTCCCGATGTATCTTGACACGAGGTCAGTTGCAGCACAAGCTTCAACCGCCTCCTCCTTCACAGCTGCCGTTCCTTTGCTGCAAGCGCTGGTGATAGCATGAAGACCTAGGAGGATACTTTTGAGAGTGGAAGTGGCCTCAAGTGGATGCTGGATTACAAGATTGGTGCACTGATTCAGTACTGACTCCAGCATTTGCTGTCCGTTCATGTGTCGTTGCCGTCTGCAAAAGACTGGGAGCTTGATGGGAGCAAGGTCTACTTACAAAAAAAGGATGCTGCCACTCTGGAATTCAGCAGCTTCAGAGATCATATGAAAACAAGCCTTGTAAACCGACAGGCCCCATAAGCAATTGTTGCAACCGCTCTGTCTGGCTTCTCTCCGAAGGCTGTGAAACGTTGCTGGCGGCACTTTGTACTTTAAGCCAAGTAGATGCGTCTTAACATGCATGATGCGTCGTGCAGAACCGGGTAATTTGTTGTGGTTCAGGAGGCGACTCCACCACATCGTACGGTGTGTTAAAAGACAGGGTTTGCAGCAGTCCGCCAAGCACTGGTGGAAACATCCCTCGAGTCGTCCTCCTTTGAAAGGCATGTCTGCTGTCGTGCCTTCATCCCGACCTTCAGATCGGAGATGACCGCGAAGGTTTTCGAGAGACGCCGGATGAAATCAAATTCATGTGCGACTTCCAGGCAGCTGCCCATGCTCCCGCAGCCGGCTCCTTACCTTTCGGGGTAGGTCTTTGCTATCACAGGGAAGGGAATCCTGCCTGACGGATTCTCAGCGAGGACATCAGGGGTGACTGCCTGACAACTTCACGACATTTGTGGACAGCAGCTGCAAACCTAAGCCTTAAAACAAGCACCTCTCACATCCTCCAAGGGGCTCTCAGCTGCCGCCTCCCCCATCGCACAACGCGGCATTGCTGCGGCCTCAATGTCCAAGGCCTCGTTGGAGTTGAAGTGTTGAAAGTATTTGAAAGTGTTGAAAAGTGCGCCTGCCGAGCCAAGGGGCTGAGGCGCTGGCTGCAGCTATGCCGTCTAGGCATCATCCGACTTTGGTACTCTTGCTGCTTTGTTGCTTCTGCCGTTTGTGCATGAAGTGGCACTGACATGCGATGGGAACGGAGCCCGATCGCAGGAGCGAGTTCCAAGGCTTCCTGAGACCTGAGGACAGATGTGCAGAGTTTGCCAATATGGTTTGCGATGACACATCCGGTGCAGTCCTGCACATGGCCTTCCTCGCAGAAGCAAGGGCTGCTTCCCGAATGCCCAAGAGGACTCGTTCGCCGTTCCCAAAGGATTGGTATCCAGGTATCCATAACCTCGCCTGATAGTACAAGACCGACACACGCACAAGCACGCACAATCACGGATAGATTTAATTTTCGCTTTCTGGGAACTAGCAGCCACGGACTCGTGTCCTTCGCCGAAGTTCTCTCGTTTGAAGTGTTCGATGCCTCCATGAAATGGGGGCTGGGATCTCTCCAAAGCTTGCCCAAGCCGTTTGTCTGCTTTACTCCTGTACGCTGCATCTCTATGATTACTTGCTGTCGCCCGATGCCCGTAGCTTATTGCCCCGTGTGCCGGTGTACTTACCAGCAAAACTGGGAAATTTGAGGCAAGATCGATTATCCAGAATGGATGCCGAGCCCGTCAACCGCCACATTGATTGAAAAATGTTGTCCATGTCGCGAGCTGATGCAGTCAGTCACTCCATGACGAATCAATCGCCTCTCTTCCACTATGAGCTGGTGTAGTAGCACTAGCATAACTTCGCAAGCCTGTTCGGCCAGAATCCTGCTCGTCGGGTCCGACAATTCTGAAGTTCTCGCTGAAAGTTAAACTATAACCATGAAAGGGTAGTGCAGCACCAGTGCTTGACCGCTCTTTCCAGTTTACATTTATGCTCCAAGAGAAAGTCCGTGAAGCCATGTCTACTGCCTCATGGTGCGGCAAGGCCGGCTGGTTGAAGATGAGTGAACTGAAACTCCCAACTTCATAGCTAGCTGCCTACCTTCCTACCTAAGCGCAAAAGCACACGCACATTCAGCGTTCATGACTGCGCCCGATGTTGCGGCCGGCGAATCGTGACGCATTCAATGTTGTGGCTCAAGGGCTCACGGGTACCTCCTTGGCCGCCACGGCCATGTCATGGCCCTGATAAATCCGATACAGAGGACATGTGTAACGACCAAAGCACTGCAGCAGAATGCTTCCATCACCTTCCATCGCAGCTACCAAGAAATCAAGGGAGGGAGCCATCGTGAGACTTCCAGAATGCAGATGCCTCAACCCCTAATCCTGCAGCGCAGCATAAAGAAACCGAGTCTCGCTTCCCTTTGAGTCGGCACTGCGATTGTCTGCAGAGTCCGTGGCTCCTTTTGGGGCCCGGGTCGCGCCATGGGGCGGAAGCGTGGTCCCGGGGATGCCTGGCTAAACGAAGATTAAGTGGTACTTCCGCTGACCGAGATGTAAACCGCAAGCGGCGTTTCAACACTGTTACGTAGATGACACGCAGCGAACCCGTGAACATGGCAGCGGCCGAGATTTCAATGGCCTTCAGGCTTCAGGATCAAGTGCACATAGGTTTGCAGGGGTTGAGGTCCTAGAAAGTCTTTCAAAGAGACAGGAAGGAGCTGGCGAGCTCGATGCCGGCGTGGGCCTGGCACCCGCTCCAGGACAGGGGAGGGACTTGATGGGAAAAGGATCTTTGCATATGCGCTGTTGTGTGCTGTGGATTGCTTTGCAGGAGCTTTGGATCCTGCAGCTTTCCCCTTTCCGGGCTTGCCTGCCGGCCTTCCGCCACCAACGCCTGCCGCTCCCACAGTGCCAGCAAATCCTGCAGCCGCAGGACTCCCAACTCTGCCCCCAGGCTTGGGGCCTGGGCCGACAGTCGTCCCACCAAAAGGTCCTGGCTTTCCTCCTGCTGGGCTCCTGCCGCCGGGATTTGCAGCCCTCGATCCTCGAGTCCCGGGTCCGCCCGGCCTTGCCATTCCTGGCCTCAGCGCACTGCAGCAGATTTTGCCAGGCGGGAGCCGAATGCACTGAATGCACATCCTGAAATCGTTTCTGTTTTCAGAGCAGTTTAGGCGTGGCCGGGGCGCCACCGCCGGGGCTGCCGCCCTGCTTCGGTGGAGCGAAGATGCCTCCACCTGCGCCGCCTGGGCTCGGCCTAGGCCGGGGGGGCCTTGCCTTCTCTACGCCTCCTAAGTTCTAGGAGCCAGAAAGGCAGCTCTCGGCCGCCTCAAATTCACGCCTGTGACAGCGTGACTGTTCTCCAACCTTTCAGCAATGATCAGCAAATCTCAGCAATGCCACATTCATCTTGCCTTTCAGATCTTCGGACCGCGGCACCAAACTTCTTCAGATTCATGAAGGTCCTTGGATCTTGCCAGCTCTCGTCCCTGAAAGGTGGCTTGCCCGTGCTTCCAGGCATGGCACCTCCTCCAGCGATGCCGCCGCCCGGCTCTCTGGACACAGAAGCGCTGGCGCAGCTTAGGCCGCTTCCTTCACGGCATGATGAGCAGGATTAAGTCAAGTTCGGGCGGTTTCTGCGATGTAGTACGCTGTACGAGTAGTATATGATTTGACTTCACCCGTGCAGGTTTCAGCAAGTGGCCTCTGAGTACGAGCAAATCAAGAGTGCTGGCATTGACCCGCAAGTGGCCGAGCTTGCGGAGTACCATGGTCTAGGCAGATCGTGGTTCCAGGGCACACTTGCGAAGTTGAGGGATCAGGTGATCGTGGCACCTAAACAGACACGACCAGCCACTCCCTTGCAGATGAGCGGGTCACGCGCTTGCTCGATGAGGAGATGAAGAAGCGAAAAGACACGCCGCACGGCACAATCTGAATCTGGCATGACACTTCATCGCACGCGAGGGTTCAGGGTACTCGCATTATGCAGAAGTCGTGCCGTGGCCAAGGTTTGAGTCGGACATGCAAGCTCTTTGGGTGGGCTTGGAAAGGGCAAAGAACCCTGCAGGAGCTTGCAACACGCTCACGTGTTTTGCTACTTGCACTTCGGGCCCTGGCTTTCTGAAGGAATGTTGATGATGAAGCTCAAGGATATGAAAGCGGGTACTTTCAAAGGCATGTCGGCGCTGGACAAGAAGGCCATCCCGACAACCAAGCTGGATTTCGATACGTGCTCTTCTACGCAGCTTCTTCTGCAGACCGAACAATGGGCTCAGATCTCGTTGCAAGATGTTGCATGTGGTGGTTAATTCACGGCTTGGGGGCACCAAAGGGGTGACGGCCACAGCCGACGGGTCTGGCATGGCAGTTCATGGTAGTTTCGTCACCATGGGTCGTAGAGAGCTGTGACGAGTTGATCCGAACCTGCGACACCCAGCCTGCGCCCGCAGATTGAAGACTTCGCCAAGCGCAATCGCTTGGATGCCCAGGCGGCTGTGAGGCTGGCTGAGGCTGGCCTTGACTCGTAGGATCGCTTTCGATCTTCGAATCTGTGCTCCTGAATTAAGCAACTCGACCATCAACGTTTTAGACCAAGCAGCTACGCAATACAGGCTATGTCCCGCAAGATTCATGCCCCATGCTTGCATTAGCCAGCTTCCGCAACCACTCTATCCAGAAAGTGGCACGTCATGGACGAGCCTGAAACAGCAGGCATACCTGTGTTGCTGTTTCCCACTGTCGCGTCCCCCGGCCCGAGATCAAGACTGGTGCTCCTTGAGCAAGATCCCGTGGAGTACGGAAATCCCACACACTACACAGATTCACCCACAGGAGAGCCAGACAGGCAGTCGAGAGTTCCAGAGTGGAGGTTCTGCAAAATCGCGACGATGTGGACGGCGACCTAGCCAAACTCCAGAAGCCATGCCCTCAACGCCAAGACAGACCAAGGTGTAGAGGGAAGCTCATCCCGTTTGGAATTGTCATCCAACGATCATCCAGCGATGGTTTGAAGACCGAAACATCCGCTCGAAGGGTATCCCCCAGTTCTGAAACGCCGCCGAGTGCTGAGGCACCTGGAGCGATCCAACAAACCTTCCTCCCTGGTCATGATGATGCTTCTCGGCCATCAGCTTCTGACAGGGATGATTGCAGTCGGCTTTTTGTCAGGTAAAGCATGGTAACGATTCTTCGTGTAGTGCACTGAGGCCATTTCTTTTCGGCAACTCGCCCACATGGTCGTAAACCTGCATGCTGTCAGTACTTTGGTACCACCCTCATCGAGTCCCAGCTTCGGCATGGCTTTCGGAAGTAGGAGCCCGATTCCCAAGCTCGCAAAGATGCAGCTGAGGCTTCGGGACCTCCGCGAAGGCAAACCTGTCAAGGACGCTGGACCCAGCGTGTAAGCGCCAGACAACCTTCTAGTAGCTTTCAAGAAGCGGGCTTTGGCGGAGGCAGTGCGGATGCCTCGTAGAGCGACCACGTAGCCTGGCATGTTAAGCGAAGATGATACTGCCAGCAGAGTGGCCAGCTGGTCTTGTTAGCAGAAGGCCTTGCCTCATGCTAGCCTCAACCCAACTCTCACACCGAAAACACTCCTTGGGACCGCTTCTCTGATTTCTCTTTGTTCGAGACTTACACTCGAATGGTTATGCGTTCCTTACATCTGCTGCGGCCGACTTCTGAACACTGAAAATACCCAGCACCCATGGCGGATCCCACGAGCTGCGTTGATTGCTTGAGCCGGTTGAGCACGACCTGCTTCTTTTTCACATGCCTTTGTAGGATCCGGAGTATGCGCCGGCTATTGGCAGCAAGGCGCGCGAAGTCACGAAGCGCATGGTGTCGACTCGTTGCTGCCTGGCATGAACGCCAAATTCTGACTCGCCGCACAGTTATGCCTTGCACTAAATGTCTGTGACAGTTGCAGCGGGATTTCTCGTCGTGTGACTATACTTCTTCGGCTACTTTATGTTTGACATTCTTGCAGACTTTTGACTTGCAGCCGTTTTTTCGGCTGTCCACGTGTTGTGGTGACAAATAGCAGTGCCGCAGCTGAAATTTCTCCAACTGCTTGTGTCGTCGCTACACTGCTACATGGACAGTTACAGCCCATGTCGTTTACCTGTAGCTTCGGTGGGCTTGGTGAATCACTTGTCGAGTCAGAACATAGGCCGGCAATAGTGGGCTTGCAATTCATGAGCAACTGCAACTCGAATATCGTAGGGCGTTGTGCATGCAGTGCACCTGGTTACCTGATCGTTCTCATAAGCCCAACTATGTGCAGGGATGTGGGCCCGCACTGTCACCTTGCAGGTGCATGAGAAAGAACTGCGGGACTCCAAGAAGGACCGGACTGCCCATGCATGTAGACAGATACGTGCCGCTGTCCCAGAACCTTCTCCCCGCATCCTGTAAAACAGTGATACGCTCGGCGAGCCCTTGCAAATGAGCACGTCGCGACAAATTCGACAGACGGCGAGCCCAGCTTTGCCAGGAGAGGGACCGAAGTCGCAGCCGGCAGAGAGGAGGCCGAGACGAAGCCAGAGGCGGCCGCCATGACAGGCCAGCGAAAAGCAGTCGTCTGATTCGGCTCGATTGCATTTCAACTTTCAACCATGCAAGACCATGCGTTTCTAGGCTCTTCGCCGGATGAATTGCTTTTGGGTTTTCATTGTGCCGTAAGGTGGAGTGTGGTACTTGTTAGTAAATCTGATTGTTCGGAACTGGGAGTGCTCGAGTGAGAGGACAGCCACCCCCATCAGACGGGCAAAACCGAATACATTTATGGTTATTGCCCGCGCAAGACCGCAATCCTTGCTGAATCCATTGCTGGCCTCACAGAGTTGCTTGCAACCCCAGAAACTGCAGTCCACCGTCGGCACGTTCAAGAAACACACCGTTGCACACCACTCACGAAACGTGGCGTTATCTTTGTCATTTCCACGCTTGAGTCGAGTAGTTCAAGCTTGCTACGGCAGTCACAAGCCTGACGTGTCGCAGCTCAGCCGATCACTTTGACTGACGTTTGATTTGCTTCGCTGTCGCAGCTTGGTGCATGGCCCCTCCCCTTGGGTAGGAAAGGCTAAAGGCTGGTGTGGATGGATATCTAGTCTGAGAATCCGTAGCTCAGTCAATATAAGTCGGGAGAAGGTATGTGTAACAGTGTAGAGATCTTTAGTGCATTGAATTCTGCGGATCGCCCTGCGAGACTTAAAGGGCCGTAGGGCGCAAGCGAAACCCTGCAAAAAGACAATGCTTCACGACCTTGGCAATGCCAGTAGCTGTTGCCCTTTTGCAAAAGCTCTAAAAGCTCTAAGAAGACCCACAAGAGAAGCTTAGACCATTCCTTTAATCGATGAGCGACAAGCGATGCCTCCGCCTCCGCGCAGGGATCGAGGCAGAGACCGTGACCGTGACCGTGGCTTGGAAGCGGGAAAGACATGGGCACAGTGTGCGATGATGTGCCTTCTGAGCGCTGTTTGGGAGGTCCCGGGCCCCACACGTTCTTTCAGAGCCTTATGGTGTCCTGACAAACACCAAGATAGCAGTAGCCTTCCCATTAAGGAGATCGGGATCGGGATCGTGACCGGCGGGATCGTGACCGTGTGGACGGGCTCAGCTTTGAGTGTGAGCAGTGAGGCGAAAGAGCAAATAGGCCATGGAACATCATGGAAACATGACTAAGGACCGAGACAGGGATCGGAACGACGGACGTGATCGCAAAGGCAATGAGTGATGCGAGCCGCCGGAGCCGACTGAGGCCTCGAGAGGCAAAGCCTGGGCTGAGTCCTATAGCCAGCAACGCAGCAACGCAGCAAGAGCCAATTCCCAAAACGCGAAGAAAGCATGTCACACACGAAGAAGTCCTCATCGTTTGAAGCCACTCCTAAAGCACACGCTGTTTCGGTTGCAGAGGTAGTTTCTTGGGGTGGGCCGAATCGTATCGCCGGTGCAAAAAGCCGCGAGCATGCCTGTGTAGATCGAAGGGCTGCAGACGCTTGTCACCTCTGGTCGGTTCTTCTCTCTGGCGTATCAAAGCGCTCAACAGATGTAGCCGCTCGGGCTTGCTTTCTGTCTTCACGTGACATTGCTGCAGGCAGGTGGCATCTGGCCATTGCGACTTTGGAGCAGCCAGTGGCAGCGAGAAACAAAAAAAGGCGCGCTGGAGCTCCAGGACAACACGGCTCGAAACGCTTGACAGGAGGGCATCTCTCAAGCATCGCTCGCTGAATCCCTGGTTCCAGAAGCTGTGATGAAAGGCATCCGGTAGCAAGATCGGACAACAAATTACTGAGTGCCTCCTGCATCCTCATGCAGCTGTTGTCTTAGCCCTTCCACTTCCGTTCTCTTTTGCAAATGACGGGACGCAGAAAATGGAGCAAGCTGCGACAGACCTTTACCTGCCCCAGGTCCGGCACCTAGAGTGACGCAAGGAGGGATGGAGGGAGAGGGAGAGTATAGTCGCAGAATGGAATCTCAGTCTAAGTAAGGCTCAGGCTTGCAACTGCACGAGGAGGCTCTGGAGCGATGCCATTCTCAGGTCCCGCGAAGCGGCAGAGCGACAGAAGCGTTGCCGAGGGTGCCGCTGGAGCTAAGTGTTGCCTCGGCCCTGTGCTACAGTAAATGTCTCTGTTATTCTTTGTAAGGACGAATCAGTTTTTCATCAAGTGCCAAGCAGCCCGAATAGCTGCGGATCGACTCCAAAAGCACCCGCATGAATTTCCTCGGTCGCATGTAACACGATGAGAAACTTGCTGTGCATCTGTTTGCACACGATATCACACGATCAGTTCTCTGTGGACCTCTAATCTGCGGACTGTGGACCCCATCGAGCCCGTGCAGAATGCATCCTAAGCAGAAGTTGTTGGCCAGGTATTGCTGACCAAGCGCAGGAACCCCGGACTCAAGTTGCCATTGCCCAGGTGGGGGGAGTTCTAAACTCTTGCTTTGTCATGTCGACTAACCGTGCACTTAATCATTTGATGTAGGTTCAAGACCCCTCTAAAACCTGGCCCCGTGCACGCATGTGCAAGTGCGAGCGCAGGGCCACTTGGGTAAAGACAGGCTCAACTTTGCATATTCACTGGGCTTATCAAGGCTTCAGTGGGCTATTGTGTCAAGCATGTTTAAGACTGCGGCCGCGCAAAAACCAGGGACAGGTGGAATTTCGAGTTGTTGTTTGCAGCCAGCATAAAGAGAGGCCTTCTCAGAATTGATGTGAGTACTGATCGTTTCTAGGCAGGCCTTGGTGTCAAGCATTCTTTCTGTCTGAGAAGTACGTCACCAGGATTCTTGGACTGCTGGTTTTCTCGTTCTCCAGCTGGCGAATTGTGAGGGCAAACATGTTTCGCCAATTTCTTACACCCTTCTTGGTGCCATTGGTGCCCCCGGTCTCACTATTTTTGCGCAGGAAAGGGACTTTGGCCCAGCAAAAAATGATACACCAAAGAGCTCCTAATATACCACGGAGAACGGTTTATCGCATTAGTCGCCGAAGCTGAGTCGCTGACTGGAGCAAGGTCCCGAGACGCAGCGCAGGAAGCCACCGCGCCAAGACCCAAAGCGCCAAAGCTGATGGAATTATGATCGTCGCATTTGGACTTCTGATTTGATCTCTTGGCATCAAGAGGGTGTCATCCCATGCATGGAGGCTTTTTTGGATGCTTCTGGCTTGACTTGATCGATCAGTCGACCTCGACGAGCCCCTTCACTGGTTCTTGAAGTCTTGAAGTTGGCTGTGTGGCCGCAAGGCAAAAGCAGCACCTGGTTTGCCCACCAAGCCGCAGGAGCCTCGGATTCTCTCGGCTTCGGCCCAGATTCGAAAGGTGTCGGTGGCATGGCAGTGCATGGCAGGTGGGAAGCGGGTCCCAGACCCGAAGCTTGGCGGGTGACCTCCCGGTTTGTACCCTTGGGAGACAGGGAGCTTTGTTAAGAGCCAGGTCAACGAGCAATTCCATTCCCCAAGTCGTGCAAAGCTTTCGTGACTTCCTCATTCAGAAGGCAGGATCGCTGCAAAGCAGAAGGCTCCCATGTACCTGCATTCCAGGACCATGCGACGAAGCCACAGTTTGCCAAGACACTGCTTGCACCGGGCCCACATCTCAGCATGCAGTACGGGCATTGTGGCGCGGTGCTGTGCAAAGCTTGCAGATGGTTTGCAGCTTGTGCCTGAAACCAGGCGGTGACACGGGACAACATGACGTTGCACGGGACTCGGCCTTTTGTCTCAAGTGCTTCTCGTTCTCGAAAGCCGTCTTGGCAAGGGCCTGGCTCTGAAGTCGATGGAGGAGAGCTGTTCTCTAAAGGATGAGGCTGAGAAGGCCAGAGGGACTTTACCACATTTTTTGGTCGCCCTCCACGTGTGGTGCATGCCGTTCGTTAAGCGTGCGAGGACATCCTCGCCTCCTGGGCGAACAGCTTCTGGGACGAGCATGCGAGCTCCTTTGCGCCGTGGCCTTGCGCCTGATTATCATTGCAGCACTTCTCGATGGGCTATTCATGCTCGAGCTCACAACCGTGCAGCAATGATGTGCAATGTGCCGCATTAAGTCGCCAGACGTTGCCTACCGCTCGAGAACCCAGGCTGGACCCCCTGGACGGGGTTTCCTTGTTCCGGACTTCACGCGATGCCACCGAGCTTGCACAAGATGCGCCCGTGCCTCGGGGAATTCATGTCGCAGGACTAGTTTTTGACTTCCCTGCATCGAGTCTTGCTTGGGTGTCAGTGTGCACGCTTGCTGCGAGACCTTATCTTATAGGGCCTGGGCGGTAAACAGTGCAGCTCGGAAATCCGCTGATCTGCTGCGAGGCTCGCACGAGCCAGTGCCCACTTAGGGTCACCCAGCCCCGGCCGGGATGGGAGACGGGATGGGACTATGTGTTTCGCAATAATCCAGAAAGGTAGCGGATTTCGAAAGCACAAGAGTTGTGCACTCGCATGTATCCAACCTCGAGCAGTTCATACCCCATGCACAGGGTTTCCAATTACTTGTTGGGACTAGGCTTTTGGTGCGGGCATGCCAACATCACATAAGCTCACACCGGCGTGTGTAGGTGGTTCTGAGGATGGACCCGGTTTAGGCACCACACTGCCACCGGAGGAAGGTGAATACCCGGTGCTTTCCTATGCAAGGTCCTTTGGTGTTTCGGTCTCTCGTGCGACGCATCGTTCCATGGTCGCGAGAAACCCGCAAGAGTCCAGCAATAGATCTGGATCGACCTATAAGTAAGATGTCAACGTTGAAATCAACCCAACAGCATCGATGCGTCAATATTGATTTTGCATCATATGTGGCAGCGTGGCGTTTCAAGAGTCTGTCAGGGCGCAGCTTGGCCGAGCAGCAAGCCTACTGTCCGAAGCCGAGAATGCCTCAGAGCAGCCGTCACGATCCGACCCCGGCATGTTCCGACTCAAGCGGCCGAGGTAGGTCCCTGATGCGTTCTCGGAACGAAAGCAGGCGCAGTCTTTTCGCATCAGCTGGTGAGCTGCAGGTTTCTGTTATCACCTCAACCATTTTGATTTTAAGCCTGGAAGGCTCACTTCGCCAGCCTCATGCAGTGTTGCGGGAAGCGGTGCCGGCCTCATGTCTGGTAGCCACCCCCAGATCCAGCAAACCCAGCCCAGCAAGACGGCTCTCGAAGATACTTGGATTCCCATTTGTGTTAACCAGAACCCGGACACTGCAGAAGGAGACCGAAGAATTGTCTAGATGTGTTGCTTGTATCCGGTGGGCTCCTTCCAGAGGTGCTTCAGAGAGGGACGCCATCGACATGCTGTGCCGCCCTTTGAGATGTGGTGATGGCTTCTTAAGTGCGCATAGACACTGGAAGAAGAGGAACACGAAACACAAGCTGCAGAGATGTAGATGAGGGACCAGAGCACCAACGCAGCATCAAGCTATTCTCCATAGGCTTTTCTTGAGAGGCAGGTCGTTCTTGAGCTACTGTCAAAGCTGGACTGTGGCCAATCTTCAAGCTCAAAAGACTCAAAAGCTGAGGGATACGGAGACCCGGCTCCGCCACCTCAAGCGCAGCTTCGCGGTTTCAGCCGACGAGGTCCATTGTGACGCCGCCAAAGCACTTGAGTCGTGGAGGCTTCTTTGTACAGAGACACTTCCTTAGCCTTCAGATCTTTTCGCCATCCTCGGACGGCTGTCACCCTGACTTCGCACGGTGAGAGCCCTTTCGAAGGTGGCAGCACGCTTGGAGGACTTGCGGAGGCAGATCCTGCACTGCACTGGCCCGGACGTGTTTTGGACCTGGGGCTTTGGCGCATGACAGGTCGTGAAAGCTTGAGAGTCTGAGTCTGAACTGTGTTGCATGTTTGATGCCTTAGCTCGTCCAGGATTTTCGGGGTCTGGCTCTGCGAGATTCTTTCTTGTGCGGTTCGTCTTCGCCCTGCCTGTTGCTGTGTCCGATCCAGGCGGCCGGTCTGGGATGCTTATGCAGAGATGACCCATGAGGCGTCCGGCGTCCGTGCTTGCAATTGAAAATGTCGGATCTCTATAAGGACATACCTTGGGAATCGTCTTGTATCGAGCACACGTCACTCGATGATTATGTTTGACTGTATTAGTTTCTGGACGTCGTTACATGTTGGATTGCTTGGGCGAGGTCGAGGAGAGCAGCTCCTCGCGTCCTCAGTGCGGAGCTCAGCGGGGGAGCTGTCTCCGCTCTCCTCGGCTCTCGCTCGGCTCCCAGGTCCTCAATGACGAATCAGTCCTGGACGGGGGAAGTCTTGGCGAAGCCTCGGCAGAGCCGTCGGAAGCGCCAGAACCTCAACCTCCTGAGGCTGCATGTCCTTCCAGCGAGATGTCAAGGTAAACGGCGCACCTAGTAGGGGAGGGGTTGATAGCACATATACACATCGATCCCCTCCACATCAATTGTGGCGTTTCGTGGCGGAGCCGGGCCTGTCATGGCTCCGAAAAACCACCAGTTAACCGTCCACTCACTGGGGTTGTGCAAGTTGGAAACGGGCTTCGCGCGCTCGAACTGTCAATCGATCTAGCATCCACACTCCGATTAGGCATTTAGGCACCAGGTTGCAGTACGTCAGTACGTCAACACGTTCTACGTCGACATTGGCCTCATTGCATGTTTGGAATCTATGTCGAAGTCCAATACTTAGTTTTGGCATTTGCTGACAGTCTATATAGTCTATCTAGCGACTTTCACAGCGCGGCATGGGTCCATATGATCCTCGCAGGGCAGATGGTCCTGGGTTGGCAGTGTGGCAAGCGCATAAAGAACCAACGTACCCTTACAGATTCACTTTCTGTGTATGAATATCAGCTAGCTGTCATTCGAAAATCAATGCCTGGCATGTGGATCTTGGAGGGTGCGGCTGGCTGGTAACTGCAAACGGAGAAAAGTGTCTCTTTCGGGAATCTTCTCGATGCATTGGCCAAACCTCTTGAACAAAGAGTTAAAAAGTGCCGATAGCAGCAACTTCCGCGAGGTTTCGCCACATGCTGAAGCCTCCAGCACGGACGAATAACAAACTGCAGCGTCCATGCTGTTGTTGAAGAGTTTTGTGTACTTCACATGCAGATGTGCATTTCCTTGAATCGACCACACAGGAAGTTTGGGAGGTTTTGGCGGCAGCTTCAGCTTCCAAGCTTCTGGCAGTTCAGCCCACGCCCGAGGCACCGACTCTGACACCAGCAGCCGTCAGACACAGGCCTCCACCTCTGCTATGCTCGTGCGACCATGCAGCCCTGGAGCCTGCAGTCAGCCGACATTTCAGGGGAGTAGGTGGACTTAGATGAAGAGTGGAACGGTTTCATGAAGTTAAAGGTACTTTCATGGTGTCGACTGGCTCAGAGTGCTTCCAGCTCCTATGTGAACTAGTGGTGTTTCTAAGCCGCCATCAGCCCAGTGTCTGCAGACCTGATGTTGTTGATCTTGTATGGCAGCACGCCAGATCAGGACCTACATCCTTACCACGTGGAAATGCCCAAGACCGCAGAGGAGGTGCGATTTCTCTGCCTGGGTCACGAGCCCAGTTGATAGTCTGTCCGTTCAGCCACAAACAGGGGATTTGGCTCGGGCTTGCATGTTTGAATCAGCAATGTTTGAGAAGACAATTCGTGATTGCTGACCCTCGACTGTTGAAACGTGGAAATTGCCTCACGCGCTCTCCCGAACTGGCTGAGGCGCATCCTTGAACATGATGCCGTACAAGCGGCTGCAGCCTCTTGCCAGGCGCTCCATAAAGCCCTGGACCTCGTGCGCGTTAACTCCTAAGGACTCGTAAATCCGACGTTCTTGTCATGCGCCTGGAAGTTTCACCAGGATGTGAGTTGCTCATGAAAACACGTTTTGGCAGTTCTGCACAGGATAGAGGATGATGTTTTCGACAATGGCCCCAACGACAGCTATGACGAGGTCTCACAGCGTGAGGCCGGGAAGGGATCGGAGGGCCTTGCACACACCCGCTTCGTCCTTGCACTGCATGCAGGAGCTTCTGCGAGCTGTCAAGCAACTGAACACATACAGATGGTCGCTTCCTCAACCTCCTAGCAGTCCTAGCAAGGAATATGTATATTATCAATTGTTGCTTGTTCTTTTCCTTTTTGTTTGGGTGTGTGCGTGTGCAGAGGGTGTCGCGAGTTCAATCCGTATTCGCAAGCGATCACTTATCGATGGGCCGGCTCTTGTGAAGAGAAGGTTTTGTCGCTTGCCCCCAGTGCTGGTGGATGAGGCTGGTGGAAAGTTACTGATCTTTGTCATGTTGGCTGTGCTGCAAGCTCGCTCATGTCAAAATGTCGGCACGACCGTCCACATTTCCAAAGTTGACGACAAGCAACGCTCTTGCAGCCCAGCTGTTGTTCAGGATGCCACTGAGCTGTGCGAGTTCCTGAACGAGAGCATGGTTTCCCGCAAGCCAGCAGATGCCTTATTGTAAGGTCGATAGAAGTTTTTGTGTAGCTCTGACCGCCAAGGTCTTCGTAAAGGAGTCCCACAGTCTGACGCGGCGAGTGTCGGATCTCGGGGATCAGCTCGGAGGTGTCGCTTTGCATGGGATCGGGGAACTTGGCTCGGTGACTGGCATTGCGTCGCAGGATTCATGGCTAATAGCGGCCACGCGATGATTTTGCACAAGGACCTGGCTCTTGCCCATCCTGGATGCTTGCGGTGCTTCGGTTGCGGCGCGGCAAGGCGGGTTCCCTTATCTCTGCCATCGATGTTGGCTTCGACCCCAGATCAAAGGTTCCCGTAGAGCCAGCGTGAACAGTTTCGAGAGCTGAGGTATTCTCTGCAGCCATACGGTGGCTTTGGCATGTTGGACCTATGCCCAGTTCTGATGAATTTCCTTTCTCTGGGTGCCAGCGTGGGTGCGAGCAGCATCAGTTCTGACAAGGAGGTTTCGAGCAAGCTTTGAGTGTGTCCCAGATGAATGATTAGTTTCGCAACTCTGTTGCAGCTGTGAAGGGAAGAGTCACAGAGAAGAGGTTCTTCGAAAATATTGTAAGTTTCATGTTCGGCATCAAGGACAAATGTAGGAACCAATTCAACGGCTCGAGCTGCTCAGAGTCTAAGAGAGCAAAAGCACGTTCGAAGTTGTCTCTTGACTTCTTGAGAGGCCCTGGCTGACACAGCCTCCTTAAGCCTTGCTGCCAGGGTGGTTGGAGCTACTCGAGCGACGGCCCCGGGCAGCTCTCCAGTGGTCTTGTTGCACAACAGCAAACTCTAATTGGACGTGCCTTTCATGTAGTTTAGATTTGCCTGAAGCTGCGTACACTTCAGGCAGCAAGCTTGCCTTGCTGCCACTGGCCGATCTCGACACAGCCATGCAGCATTCAGTGCAACCGCACATCAACACGAGAGCCCCGCAGTCGTGCAGGAGTTGAAGCGGGGGTGGGAGCCCTCCAATGCTGTGTCGTATGACCTGTGTTGGAAGCGCTGTTGAAGCAAAGAGAGAAGCCAATCGCTCGTAAGCCACTCACGGACCCGAGTCGAAACATGTCTTGGATGCACACATTTCCGAAGAATGCAAAGCTCCGCAGCCAAGAATCCGTAGTCTCCTTGCCACTCCCCAACTTTCAGGTGCCCCTGCGCCCGGTGCAGCATCCGAAGCTGCGGCCGCAGGACAGAGCCGCCAGGCCGAATTGGCAACATTTGGCACCCAGAGCTGAGATGGTTACTGGCAGCTGCAACTGGGACGAAGGTACTATAGTAATATTCATGGTTCATGCACCCAAATTCGAGGCCCGGAGCAAACAGATTTCTATCCAAGGCAAATGGGCACACCAACTGCTCATTTTGGCATGCTGCCCCTGCATACGCCACACCCCATGACCACGAAAATTCACGAAAGTCTATCGCAGTCTGCACACTTGTGAGAGTTGTGCTCTCGGCAGCACGTCCGTAGAACGCGACAGGTGGCAGTAGTGCAGATGACTGAGCAAGAAACCATGCCTGCCCCACAATATTTCGAGTTTAAGCTGCAGGTGGAGCGTGAGATCTATTCATGCATTGTCCCATGTGCAGGGTCTTGCGAGACGCTCCCCAGGTGCCCAAGACGAAATACTGTCTCGAGGGCAGCTCCATGGTCGAGGCATTGCAGCATTGATCTCCGGCAGATTTGCGAATTTCAGGGGTGGCAAGTTGGAATCTCATGTGGAGCCCGCTTCGCGCCGGATATCCCTCGCTGAAGCCGTGGCCGGGAGTTTCGTCAGGCTGCAACACAGCTCGCGAACGCCCGGAGCTGAACTGCTCGTTGCCGCTTATTCCTGCTCCTACTCTGCGATCCGCTGCAGACAAGTGCAACTTGCCATGTTTCCTTCCCTCCCGAAACCTGAGCTGTACCTGTCGTCTAGCTTTTCCCAGCATGTGAGGCGCCGCAAGGCGAGTTTGCACAGACTCAGGCCCGAAGCCTGGCCTTACAGCGCCGTGCTCCTAGCATGGTGCATTGAGTGTGAGAAGAGCTGTGACTCCAGACGTGTCTCGTTTCAAAGCCAACAGGCTGTACAAGTACTGAACAACTGGAAGCGAGGTTGCGAATTCAGTCCAGGTTTCTCTAGGGTCGGAGGCCAAAGAAACCACGTCCAGATGCACTTATGGAAGTAGAGAAGTAGAGTTGTTTGTGCAACAGCGTCGGGCGAAGACAAGCCTGCTCCCAACTTGTGCTCTCGATGCGACTAAAGTTGTGACCCGTCACAAAAGCCCTGGCTCAGGGCTTGTGAAAGCCATACAGCTGTCCTTGCACAAACACATCATGCCGCAGGTGGTCCCTGCAAGCTGCGACGGAAGTCCAACCAGTTTCCCTGCAGAATTTGCCAGACTCCCTGGCAGGCTTGCCGGTTCGGAACTTGCTGCCCTGCTCCTTGCGGGGATCCAGTCAAGTTACAATGGTTCCGTTGCTCGATTCTGTGGTGACGGTGGGAGGCACGGTTGGATTTGCTTCGGACGAAAACCTCGACCACATTAACAGACGCTTTCGAGTTCTTTCTTGGAATGCTGCATGCATCGAGGAACTTCCCTCGGTTCGCGGAGCGTGTCATGAATGCGTGTGCTCCATTGTGATTATCTGCAGGATACAGGACAATGTGGGAAATCTTGGATAAGCTGGGCGGCACCAAGCAGGAGCTCTAGGGCGGGAACACATCGACGGTCTGTCGTCGTCTTGTCTGCAGGAGGCCCGTAACGCCACGAGCAGAGCGAGCAGAGGCAAGAGCCTCCACATGCCGAGGGCTCAGAACCACTTCAGCAAGAATATCACATTTGTTGTTGCTGAAGCCACGACGATCGCCAAGGGAGGCTGCGTCTCCCAGTCCTAGCAGGCTGGTATTAGCTCTTTCGCAAATTTCGCAACTACGGGCGCAAAAGAGCGCGCTGTTGTCCTGTCTGTCTCTAGACACTTGAGGCCGCTATGGCAACAACAAAAACACACTAGAAGCCTAAGCCGCCTAAGCCCCCATGCCCGATTGAGTCCAAAAAGCGCCCGAGCTCGCTGCTGGCTTTGCAGGCTCGGCTCTGCGGCCGGGCCGACACGACCAGGCAATGGGAAGCTCCACGCATCGTCACGCCATGCTGCGCCATGCGCTTTCATCATCTTTCGTCTTTCATGGTGCTGTCCTAGTTCGCTCAAACTGAGTCGTCCTCGCGGCGAGAGGGGAGTCGAAAGTGAAAGAGTCAAAGCAAGCCTTTGACAATCTTTGACATGCGATCCCGATCGATCCCGTTTGCAGGTACCGGGGTCAGCAGCCTTTACTCAGGAAGGAGCACACCTTTTCAGGACTCCGGCACTGTTTCCTTTTGACATCTTGTTCGACTGAGAACGCCTCATGGTTTGTCTTTTGCGCTTCGATGACCTTGACACTGGCACCCCACACCTCGACACTCACACGCCTCGGAGGACCGACGCCCAGGCACCGGCAGCAGTACGCCCGGCAGACTCCGCACTGCCACGGCCTGAACCGAACGCCACGCTGGGTTGGCCGATGGCAAGCTGTGGGTCAGGGAATAGTTGAAATTAATTCACTTAGAAAGGTGGAACGTGCCCATAGCTCTGCCTTAAGGACGATCTTTCCTCAGGCAGTGGGGGAGGTCGGAAAATTCCTACAGGGGCGCAGAACCTTGTTTCAGTATGCCAGCGAAGCGGCACTTCTTCCCACCCCCCTCCCTTTTGCCGGTCGAGCTTTCTTGGGGAATCCATATGCAGTTCTGTCCTCGCCCAGAGATGGTCCACAGGTCTCCTGGGGCTCCAACGAGACTGCCCGCCGCCGCGAGTGGAGCCGCGCTAGCAACCTGCGCTGCCCTCGAAGTTCCTGAGCGAGTGCAAGCAGCCTGTGACCGAAGCGGCCTGTGAGGATAGACCGATAGTCCGAAGGCCAGAATTAGCAACACTTGTTGGAGCCGTGGCAGTGGGCGTTGACATTGCGTTGCCACTGATTCCTGCACCTGGGGGCTGACATCTGACTGGCCTTCGAAGGTCTTGGGGTGACAGGCGGGTGCAATTGCACGCACTACACTTGCAAGTTTGAGACTGGGACAGTGTACTGTGCGGAGGCTAGACAGGAAATGCGAGGGTTTGGACTTCGATTGGCATGCGCGGCTGACATCTCCTAGCAGCTACTTGTAGCAGTGTCTCTTTCATTTAGCATCTTCCGAGGTGCTCGCATGCACAACATAAGCCATGGTCCTGGTGCATGGGATGGCCTGAGCATAGAAGCTCTTTGGCTCGCCCCCTTCCACCAGATTGATATTGAGCTGCAGCGGGCCTGCAATGAACTTGTCCCAGGAAATGAGCCCACGCCCGAAGGGTTGCGGGAAGAGGCAAAGCGGCTTTGCAGCTTGCGAGGGAGCTGCAAGGATGGCAAAGAGTTGGCGGAAGCCTGGTCCCTGCTTCTGTCCCGAGCGCAAGCAGAGGCTCTGGATCGAGCAGGAATCCCACATCCGGCAATCATGATTCCCATCACAGACGACCAGCGCAAGTTCTGGTATTGCTTTGCTGCAAGAGTTGAGTTCTTGCCAGAGGACGATCTTGAAGACGACGTACTTGTGGCCATATCTGAGGAATGGACTGCGGTTGCCACAATTGGGGAAGCCCTTCGTGCATGGCTTTCTCTGAAGGCATCCGAAGAGGGTGCACAAGATCCTCCGCCTCCGGGGAGATCGATCACTGTCTGCATCCTCGGGCCTAGCCCATCCTTGGAGTATGAGAGGGGGTTGAACGACCTCCATCACAAGCTTCAAGCGTGTCTGTTTGGCCTCGAGGGGCCTTCAATCTCCCAGCCTTTCTTGCATCTTGTATTCTGCGGTCCCGACGTGCCAGGTGAAATACATGCACAAGACTGGAAGGACGGAAGGCTTCATGTGGAACACTGGAAGTGCCAATGGCATGGCCTACAGAAGGAGAATTTGCGGACCGTGGATCTCATAGTCGCGATGAATGCCGGGACCGGCGTCGCACCATATCGAAAGCTTTGGCTTCCAGCCCTGATGGCCATTGCAGACCTGGAAGACTGTCTGCTATGGTTTACTGGCTATACCCTGCCCGAAGTTGCAGAGACGCAGAATGATATCAAGGAAAGTTGTCCGAATGCGGTTGTGCTTCATTGTGATGCCGGACGCAGCTCGACACTGGCCGGAGCTGACCGCGTCGAGCTAGGTGTGACCCCCTGCTCCTATCCGGGAAGGGCAAACTATTCTGTGTATGCAGCTTGGCTACCAGGCGCGGGTACTTGTAGAACTCGCAGTGCTAAGTGGAATGTGGGTTCGATTCTAAGTCCTAGACTTTCATTCGCTGCAGATTGAAGTTTGGTACGACGAGTGGTTTGTGGTAGCAGCTCGTTGCATGCGCATGCTTTTGCCCTATGAGATTTGGCAGGACAGTGCAGCATCTCCAGCATACACTTGGAAGGTTGGAGAGATGGCAAAGACACATCCTGGCCTGTCCTGTGATTGCAGGATGTCGGGGGGCTGGACCGTTGGCAACATGTAACTTGAAGGAGCAGCCATGATTGACATGTCATGACACTTGCCAATGGCTGGCCACAAGAACAAGAAGGGGCGAAGATCAAGGAAGATGACTCGATGCGCTCTGTGCTATGCAGCTGTTTGGCGTCGGAGTCACCAATCAGGAGGCCTTTCACCCCGACGCAATTCTGCCGCAGTTCCCGCGAGCCAGCAGTTCACAGCGGCAGCACGACCCGTTTCTGTACTCATCGGCCAGCACGACCAGTCGCTAGCCATTGATACAGTCGCACAATTATAGAAAAGGAGGCAAACGACAGCTTGCTCAAGCTTGACCCGTAAGGGCATCGGGCCAAGAAGCCTGTGCAGGACAAACACAGTGACTCTGCGGCGACAGCTTCTCAGTCCACGGCTGTCGGTGCCCCAGCCCTTCAGAAATTGGAGTCTTGAAGGGCTTTCGCGGGCTTCTGAGGGCGACAGATAGTCTTGTTGATGTCTCATCAGCACTTGCGCCGATGCATTGCCAAGGCTCTAGGGGCGCAAACGGTTCTCCAGCAGCCGCAATCCCTCAGGCAGATCTTTGGCGCCTCTCGTTTGCGAGAGACATGCGTCATCTGGCCACCAGCTCAGATGCCTGTGGTTTCTATATGGCTCAACGAGAGGAAGCACAATCACCAACTGCGTATGATCTTAGATCTATGAGACCTCTGAGTGAGATATGTTACAGCTGCAAGCAGTGCATGCGTAACCACACGACCATCTAACGACTTAAAGAGCTCCCGAGTGCAATTGGCAAGCAAATCGCCCGTGATATCCTGTGACCAAAGATCGCCAATGTTTCGGCAGCAGGACAAAAGCCCAGCAGTGAAAGCAGAGGCCCATACCACATGTCCTTTCACTCGAAACCCAGGACCCAAGAGTCCACTGGCACACCAATTCTGCCACAAGGGATTGTGCACCTACAGTACACAAGTACCGCTACTATGCCGGCAAAGACTCTTGGCGTCGTGTACACAGCTCACCATGTCCTAATCCTGCAGGACCACCTCTGGCACAGGAGAAACTGCGGAAGATGAGGACCCACCATCCAGCACAATTGCTGCCCTGGCCTGGTTATCGGTTGAAATCGAGACTGAAATCGAAATAGTTCGTGCATCAACGTAGTTGACGGACGAGCCATCAACAGTTCCAGAAATTAGGCCTTGCCATGTCGTCTTTGCGCATCTCCCTGGCCAGTGCCGCTGCTACCAGAACAGGGAATCTCGAATGACATTCATGCAAGCAGGAGGAGTGGGCCAAACGTGATGAGACAGACTTCGTCGTCTTCCCACCGTATGGAGCCGCAGTCTTAGAGCAGGGCTCTCCCTGTATGTCGAAAGGGCGCAGCAAAAGGATGCGCGGGTTTCCGCTCGCTCGAGTCCCTAAAGCGGCTCCTCCGAGCCAAGGTGTGTCCCTTAGAGCTCCTGGGCGGACACGCGCTCCCCACTTGGACCATCATGCCAAACAGCCGAAGTCTCAGTGGTCTTCGGGCACGCTAACATGCCGTCCGTCATAAGTTTGGCCTGGCCAGCCGAGAAGCTTCCCGCGCTCGCTCCAACTCTGGTCGCCTGTGAAGGTCATCGCTTCCAACCAACGCATGCCTTGCAGGCGCCAGCCAAGCGAACTGCTGAGCCTTACTCGTAACTCGTTCCTGCCTGACGACCGGAAGGTACGGATGTGGCGAGTTAAGCTTCTTCGCAGAGAGGAGGACACAGGCCGCCTGCGAAGCATCGCCTGGGGTCAGCTGAGCCATTCGCCGGATTCCATGAAGTATTGGATCCGGTCTTGTCCAGGCTTCTTATGCGAAGTTGACAGGCTTGTTTTGCTTCATGCCCTTCACGACCACCCCCTCCCCAATCCATTTCAAGTCGCATGTGGCCATGTAGCTTTTGTATTTTTTCATACACTGGCACGGATTCTCCGCGTTTGCCTGACCGTAGCCAGCTCCGGCTTCGGGGAGTGTTTGGAACCGCTGCGATAACTTCTTAAAGATCTGCGAGAAGTGACAGGAAGCAAGATTGAAGATGCTATTGAATGATTATTGGAATATTGAACTCATGAGGCTCGTAATCGAACAAGCGGATCGAGAGCACCTTTCGACGAGATTTCGTTCCGACGGTGACAGTGCAGCCGCGCGACAGAAACTGAAGTGGAAATGCCCAGAGGCGGCAGCGAGGGGTTTTCGCACGGCCGCACCAAGTCGGCAAGCAAATCGCTGGGAGCCCGGGAAATCCAAGTTGGTTTGCAGACAAGTCTCATGCCATGTTTGAGCACGGAAACTTGGACGCGTTCAACTGCTGGAAGTTGGTGAACGCTCCCTTTTTGTTTGATGCTCCTCCGTCTTCGCACTGCCAGCAGCATTGGTACATGTGACTGCAATCATTCGATGTGTGTGCGCGATCTATGTGGATTCTAGGCTGGGTAAGTTTTGCTTGTGGTTTCTTGCCTGCGGTGCACAGGTCTGACAATGTATAACTGCATGGATGCATCGCTCGTGCGATTTCCCATCCCCGTTTCTGTGGTCGTGATGGCAATCGTGGCGGTGCCGCGGTGGCTACTGCTGCTGCTCTGCTGATAGTGGCTGGTGATGGGACATCACGATGACGCGGACTGGGAATGAATTGCGACGACATTGCAGGAGCAAGAGGAGTAGGTCGTAATCGTAGTCGTACTCCTAGTGGTACTTGTTGGAGTAATCGCAGCAGTAGTAACAGGCAGCAGGATTAGGAGTAGGGGCAGGAGTGGTGCTGGTAGTGGTAGTGGTGGTAGTAGTAGTAGTGGTAGTGGTAGTGGTAGTGGTAGTGGTAGTGGTAGTGGTAGTGGTAGTGGTAGTGGTAGTGGTAGTGGTAGTGGTAGCAGCAGTGGTGGTAGTGGTAGCACTAGTAGTAGTAGTAGTAGTAGTAGTAGTAGTAGTAGTAGTAGTAGTAGTAGTAGTAGTAGTAGTAGTAGTAGTATTAGTATTAGTAGTAGCAGTAGTAGCAGTAGTAGCAGCAGTAGCAGTAGTCGCAGTAGTGGCAGTAGTAGCAGTAGTAGTAGTAGTAGTAGTAGTAGTAGTAGCAGTAATAGTACAGTAGCGGTAGCAGTATCAGGAGCAGTAGCAGTAGCAGCAGGAGTCTGTTGGCAGTAGTAGTAGTCGTAGTAGTCGTAGTAGTAATAGTAGTAGTCGTCGTGGCGGTGGTGGTGGTGGTGGTGGTGGTGGTGTTGGTGTTGGTCGTAGTTGAAATTACTGATAGTTAACAGTTGTAGTAGTAGCAGTACTGGGAGTCGCTGTAGTCGCAGCGGCGGCAGCAGCAGCAGCACCCACTCATGAATCAGTGGCATACGGAGCTCCATGTTATGCCTGGCTCTGTGCAGCAAGGTTGGATGGGGAAGCGCCTTGCGACGCACTTCGCTTGGAGGATTGCGCTGGGCTTTGAAACAAGCAACCTTGCAAGACGTTCCTGCGGAGCTGGTGTTAATTGCTCTGCTCGAACCGGAGTTCATTGTCGGGACCAAAGGCAGAAATGAGGATCAGTCTGCTCATGGCAGTTCGAACTGTCAAATCGCACATCGGATTGCATGCCTAGCAGTGTCCCAGCGTTCTGCCACATCGGGCCATCATCGCAAGAAAGTTGACTTTTCTTCGGTTAGCAGCATTCCAGTTGAGAGTTTCATGAGGTATCAATACAGGTGATATTTGCAAACGTGCATGTGTGCGCATGTTGTGCCGAATACAAGATGTGAGACAAGATGTTAAACAGCCGGGTCGGGCAAGATGGTTGGTGGGTTTGCAATTGAAGAGTATGTCGGCCAATGCGTAGGTTCATGGATGACTAGCAGCTGCAGAGTTGCTTTTCCGGCGTGGGGTACAAGCAGTGAACGACCTGCAGGCTTTTACTCAACACGAAATCCTCAATCTGGACAAACCTTCCCCCGCATCGGCAGGAGCTACACCTGAGCTCCGTGACCTGCGATTGCTCCTCGCGAGGCAATGCCTTCTGCATAATTTTCCGCCGGGTGCCCAGTGCTTCGTCGAGGCATCGGGAAGTAGGTTGGGTGCTGTCACGGACATTCTGAGTAACATTTGTACAAGTGGTTTCGGGGGCATCAAACCCAAATGGAATCCAACTGTCAGGTCCGCAGCTCATCCGTATCTGCGAGGGAGATCAGTTCGAGGCTCCTTCCGAATCAGGTTCTCTTTGCATGCACCCGGAGCTATGTAAATACTGTGGCAATAAGGACACCCTGTGTAACTCAGCTACTCGTGGTGGCTTGTGGTGTGACTTCAGCATTGGGAAGTAAGCTAGGCGATCCAGAATCGACACCGTCTGTGTCGAGGCATGCCAGTGTATTGGTGCCAGGTGGAGGTGAGTGGTTTGCTTGGGAGCTCGGAGAGGCCATCGCTCATCATGTTGCCCGAGAGTGATTCGGTCTTTTCGGATTCCCCGCGCAGTATCCATGCTTGTGCACCGAGGCAGTATTTCTTTCATGACTTCAAATCTGGCATCGACTTGGAGTGGAAGGAGACAGACGTTTAATTATGTTTTCGCTGTCTACTCCGATGTCGCCATTGCCATCGTGGCATCAAGCATCTCACGGTAGTGCATACCACACAGCAGTATCGGCAAGAATGCAAAGTCGCAATTACTTTGGGTGCATGGTTGTAGTGCTCGTAGCGGTGTTGCTGCGCCATTGATGAACCGCAACATGATCTTTTCCCTTGTGCATCTCATCAGTGGTCAGATGGATCCTGCAGGACCAGCGGTTCCTCGAAGCCGTGAACAGCTCCTGAGCTGGATTCACCGGCAGATGTAACAAGAAGCAACACAGCAACACAGCAACAGCACGTAACAGCGTTAGCGGCATGTCTGAGGCTTCTGTAGTATGACCGGGGGCGACACCAGCAACTACGCCGCGTTGTCCCCAGACCAGATCAGTGCCTTCACTGGGTTGAAGCCTTGAGTCAGGATTGCGTGGGAGGGGCTTTGATGGGGTTCTTAGTCAGAGAGATCTGAGATTGTGGTATCGGAGAGCTGCAGCGCTTGCTGCACCCATCACTTCAGTCCAGACCCCAAACCTTCAATGCAAGCGGAACGTGCCAGGAGCCGTCAATGAAGATCACACTGCCGAGAAGCTTGCACCTGAGTTTCGCGTTCGGATACTGGAGTAGCAGGAATAAGCTGGAGCGGGCTTCCACAAACGAATTCTCGAATGCGTGCAAGCTGTCCTTTCCTGGCACATTCATTGATTGCCGGGTGAAAAAAGTGACAGTTCAGGGCCGAAGAGAATCCTATACTATGAGCGTAGGAAGGCGCAAGAACCGCGAATGAAAAAATGCAAGGCTCGAACCTCTTAGCTCACATGTAGTTCCTCAGACCATGAGGGGTTGCGGAGGCTTAGGGTTGGGCAAAGGCAATTGGCTGTCTGCTTGTTCCGGCAGACCTAGACGCCCGAGGCATCACCAAGTCGCTCGCCAAGAGCCTTAGCGGAAGGCGTCTTCTCGCCAGAGTCTCTTCCGAACTTGCAGTGGGTTGGCTCAGTAAGAGAGAAGCTGCAATTTGAACTTCCGTGATGCCAGCCGGTGTGAATCGCAGCCGATGCTCAGTGCAGAGGCGACCAGGTATAGAGTACACAGTCTACTTCAGTGTGCTTATGAACTCCGGGCGGAACTGATCTTGTGCTTGGGGCGAACTTGGCCACACTCCTCACGGCTTCACTGATGCCGTAGACAAACGCACGCGAGACCTGTGCTCAAAGTCTTGAGCTTGGCTTGGTTCTTGTTTGCTTTTGATCGAAACTCGTACTGTGCACAGGTTTACCTCCCCAACTTCATCATTGCTGCCCGAGGAGTTACGAATTTTGCTGCTTTTCTAGCCCAGCTGGCATTGGTCAGAATTTTGCCATCCTGACTGCCACCAGCTTGGCGCAGACACAGTCGCCAAGAGCTCGCTTTCCAGGACAGAAGACGAAACACAACGACGACCTGGCATGACCCTTGACTGAGAAAGGTATTGAAGCGGAGGTACACGCAAAGATGTGTGTATGGTGGGTAAGTAGGCAGGCAGGTAGGTAGGCATGTGTGTAGGTGTGTCTCTCTGTGTGTGGGTGTGTGTCTGTGTGCATGTATGTATGTACGTATGTGTGTGTGTGTGTTTAGGCACATGTGCGTATGTTTGCATGTGCGTGTGGATGTATGTCGTGTATGTGTGTAGGTATGTAGGTAAGTAAGTAAGTAAGTATGTATGTTTGTATGTATGTATATCTGCATGTCTGCATGTACTTTTGTATGTGTGCATGCGTGCATGCTTTTATGTACGTATGTAGTTGTTCATAGTGTGTGTGTGTGTGTGTGCAAGTGTAAGTTCACAAACTAGGGACTAGGGGTTCTTGGAAACTCATCGAACTGCAGGGGGCAGGTCAACTGGACAGCAGCAGGACTGAGAGAGTATCGTGGTCAGTTTACAGCGCAGAGTGGCCTCAATGGTTCAGAATATCAAACTTGGTCACCACGACATACTAAGCTATGCATGGCTCACAACGAAGTTGGTTGACATTTGAAGTTGAGTAGGATTGTCAGTGGTCGAGCGAGATTTTGCAGTGTGTCAGTCCGACATGTCGGTGGGTCGTATAGGTAAATGAGCGGTACGCCTAGCACGCATCAGGCAGATATCTTGATGCTGGCGGGTGAGGTCTTTAGTGAATCACTACTCCTGCAGAATGCCTTGCGGCCCCCCCTGTACGGGGGCTCCCGGAAGGCAATAAAATGCCTTTCACCCCCTTGAAATGCCTTGCGACCCCCCCTAATGCCTTGCGCCCCCCCCTTTCGGATGCCGCAGGAAAACTTGTTTTATTTCCGATGCTCGCTTGGAGGCTAAGAGCACATTCGGGCTGGTCTAAGGAATCCGTGGTCTCCGGGGTGCATGTTCTCATGCCAAAGGGAACTGTGAGCTTCGTCTGGACTATCATGAGACAGGTGAGCTTTGTGTGAAACTTTGCGTGCATAAAATCCCCGATTCGTATCAGTCACTGTGTACTGTTAAAGGCTTCCTTCTTGAGAGCCTGCATCGGGGATTTTAGTTTGGCACCTGACCGTCGGAGCACAGGGCCGGTACCGCGTCCCCGCTGGGCAGGGCGGTTGGGATTGGTGCCGAAAATGCCTTGAAGCAACCCCCCCATCTCAGGCCGAAGACCGGGGGTTGCTTTGCGGGAAGGGGGAGGCTTGGAAGGGAAGAGAGCGCGCACTGAGACATGTACCTATTCAGGCATGTGCCTTATCCAGGGACCCAGGTGGGGGGGTGGGGGAAGGCATTCCAATCATACCCAAGAATGCCTTGGGGCGGGGGGGGTAGCAGAAATGCCTTTCGAAGTAGTGATTTTAGTGACTTTAGTGGGCCGTCGACGATTTGAGCAAAGACAAGTCGCACAACGCCAAACAATCAATTTCTCCTGCCTCCGCATGTGTGCACGTGCATCATCCACACACGCGCATACACACTCACAAACACACACACACACACACACACACACACCCACACCCACAAACAAACAAACAACCCACAACCCGCAACTCACAACACACACAACACACACACACACCACACACCACCCACCACGCACCACACACCACCGCACCACCACACCAACACACCAACACACCAACCACCAGCACACCAACACACCAAAACACCAACACACAGACACACATTTATATGTATATATATATATGTATACATATGTATATATATATATATATATATGTATATATATTCATGCAAACGTTGGAGTGTGGGGCACACACGTGCACGGAAAGACGCACACACAAATGGAGTTGCACACAGACACATGCATTCCTCGTCTCCCTCGGATTCCCGCGTCGGGCAGTTGGAGATCTAAGGACCTTCCGGCAATGGGGCTCGTATCGCACACCTCCAAGGCCTAGCGACGACCTGCCCTTTTCCCCTTTCCTGCCCCCCACACCCCCCGCCCCCACCTACTCCCAGGCATGGCGTCTTTGACACTCCTCAGCCCTTTCAGGAGATCAGAACTGATGAGTCGGAGCTGGAGATCTTCTTGCACTGTGCGGGAGCGGGGCACCACAGCTGGCCCTGAAGCCGGCCCTGACTTTAAGAGAAGCCGCTGCCACCGCTGCCTGAAATGCTGGTCACGTTTCCTTGCCCTAGACTCAGCCATTTTGGCTCTAGGTCCCTGCTGAGCAGGGGAAGATGTGGAAGACTGGGAAAGGAACCCTCAAAGGACGTTCTCGTGGCCGGTCAAACTGGGCCGAGGGAGAAACCACCGTCGTCTTAACAGGGCTACCGAGGACTCTGAATGCAGACATTCTGCTGGAGTTGGTGGACAAGAAATTCCACCGCTGTTATGACTTTTTTTACCTTCCGATGTATTTGGACCAACTCGAAAACACTGGATTAGCATATATAAATTTTCACGATCATGCAACGGCTGTGGAATGCCAACGCTACTTCGAAGGGAGTATTGACTGGAGTGGGCACATCAGTGATCGTCCGTGCAAAGCACAGTGGTCTTCCATCCAGGGCTATGAGGCAAACATTACAAGGCACCGTAAGGCTGAGTGGCTCGAGAAGAACGTTCCAGAAGATTGCAAGCCTATGGCCTTCGATGAGCAGGGCAGGCGACTGCCAACATTGGAAGTTTTCACTCCTTTGCAGTCTTTGCATTCTACAGACTCTGGCAAGGGTGGAAAGTATCAAAGGCCAGGGAAAGGAAAACCGTGGGAACGAGAATGGTATGGCGCCAGCAAGCCACATGTCGGCAAAGGCAGCAACTGGCCCGGCTGGTACACTGACCGCAACATTGAAACCGATTCGCCCCAGCCCGACAGCGGCTACGCTAATGCTGCCTTTCAGCCTTTTGATGATAGTGCTTCATGGCTTCAAGCTGCTGCAAACTGGCAGGCAATGGAGATGACAGCCGAAGGCACTGATGACTGGGGTAACCCCAACGAAGGAAACATGGCCTCTGCGCTTGACCTTTATTTGGCCAGTATGGACTCCACGGACAGGTCTGACGAGGCTTACGGCCAGGCATATGGCCAAAGCTTCGAGCCCACGTTTCCTTTGCGGGAATCTTTTGAGAAGCGTGCAGACACGTTTGAGAGAGATCCCGCCGACACCGCCGACACGAAAGTTGACGAGAAAAGGCTGCCTAAGCCTTCTATACCGGAACTTCCAGTGCTCGAGCATTTGCAGAGCAAGGGGAGCCCGCAGACGAGCCCGCAGATGTCTCCATCGTCCACCGCCTCAGAGCCTGGGCAGCTCGGTCTGCGCAAGTACGCCTGCCCAAACTGCAAACTGATCTTTGCAAAGTGGTCCGCATGCCAGCATCATCTCGTGAGTGATATGAAATGTTGGTGTATTCTCGGAGAGGGCCGGCTGCCCTCGGATGTAACTGAGCTTCAGGAGAAGTGCAAGGCCGCAGCGGAAGAACGGCCGAAAGACACTGAATCAACTGCTGCCTTCGTTGATGAGGCCATCCAGGATAAAGTACTCCGTTTCCAGTAGCCCCTGGCAAGACGCCGTGTGGGAGAATTCAGGACAATGTGGCACCGAGTCCGCTCTCTTGAAAGCCAACAAGCAGGGCTGCTCTGGAAGGGTTTAGGAGTCGTGAGCCCTGCAGAGCTCTTAAGCGGCCCGCCCTTGCCCTGGCCCGGCCTCGACCTGTCGATCTCCCCTTCCAGGGCCTTTCCTGCACTGACACAAGGAGGTTCTAGTGGGTTTTGGGAGAATTACGGGAGGGGACCGGGATGATATGTGATATGCAAGGTTCCTCATGCAGGCGGATCCTGTAATACGACTCCCTTGCATGTACGGTTGTAAGCGATTCAAGAGGCACCGAGACTGAGCCTCATGGTCTATGGAGCCTCAGAGGTGTTGACCTGCACGTAGCAATTGCCTGTGCTGCTCTCCTGTGTTCCTCCTAGGTGGTGTGCTTCGAAGCGCGCCTGCATATGCAGAGATCAGCCCTCTCCTTGGTCTGTCGAGGCAAACACAAGTCACAGCGTTCAACCTATCAGCGACGAAGACTCGAACTCGAGTGGATCGGAGCTTTCAGAAGGGCAGCAGACGAGGTCACTAAAGCAGGGTGTCCTCAACAGTTTTGCAGGAGGTATGTGGAGGTATGGTCTGAGTTTGAGTACCATCTGCCGGCCCGCCAAGGATGGCAATGCCTTGGTGCAGCGCGCAACAAGAGTGCCCCATGGTGCAGAGTCCTCGACAAGATTGGGCTGAGCTGCGCCTGCCGTGCTTTTGCCAGGTATTCCAAATGAAAGACTTCTTTCTTGTGCGACGCGCGCTCAGGGCCTCTTCCGGGTTAGCTGCAGCCCCCATTTGTGATCCGTGACTAGTTGTGCTTCTTCGATGGCCTTAGGCCTGAAGCTTCCATGTGCAGTCTCAAAATACGAGCTCTCCTTCCACATGGCCACGGCACCAAGCCAGGGACTCGGCACTTTGAAAGCTCACAGAGTGTCATCAGAAGTTATCCCACTAGGCTTGGGCTCAGGTGCGAAAGAGTTGGCGGAGCACCCCTTCAAGCATCCAACTCATCTGACTGCGCAAGCTTCGGGAGTAGCTGTTGTTGGCAATGGGATGCTACAGGCATGGGACCTTGACTTGGCTTGGCTGCTCGAAGTTAAGCCAGGATACATGCACAAGCATGAGCAAAAGCCCGCGATTCAGATGTCTTGCCCGTCCCCACTTCGGGGTTGACGCTTCATGTCAGTATAACCTTTTTGGTCTTCCACGACCACAGGATGTTTCTGTGCTTCGCATCCGCAGTTTTGCATACGGCCACATTTCTGGGTGAAACCAGCGCAGCTCAACGCATTCGTGATTCCCGTGTCCGTTGAACTGTAAGGTACACCATCAAAACGTCGGAGCATGGCGCTCAGCAATGCAACTTTCGTATGTTTGTCGGCCTAAGCATGGAACCGCCCTTTTGGCTTCCGAGGTCGGCACCGTGTCCTCTTAGCTCCTTGGAACATGCTGCATACTACCGCTTTGGGCTCAGCCCCATGTCGGGGCCTCAGCACCTCAGAGCCTCTGACTCTAACGGCTGAGACTGGCCCATGAAAACAGCCGCTGCCGCTGTACAGCTCTTGGCAATCTTCAGCAGCTCAGACGAAGGCTGTGCCAGAGGCCTCTGGCGCCCTTTGAAGGTCCGGTTGAGAGGCCAAAGAAGCAGTCGGCAAACAAAGGCAAAGGAGGGCTAGTCGCCTTCTTTGAGTTAGTCTGAGCAAGAAATCACCCATTCCCGAGGCCAGCCGTGACTCAACGCTTTGGCATAACCATCTGCTCGCCCATCGACTATGCAGTACTGCCTGTCAGTGTGTCGGTGGCCCAGAGCGTCAAGCCTTCGATATCTCATGAACGTATGCAGTGCAGACTGTGCAACTTGTAAGTGGGTCAGATGAGCTTGGTTCTGTTGGTGGACCAGACAAACAAGTCAATTCAAAGCCTTCGTAGCCGGTGGTTGGGCATCTCGCGAAAGCGGTGACAACTCCGAGAAAATCCAGGGACACGTCAGAGCGTCTGGCGTGTTGACTTGTTTCGTCAACTTGGTCTTGCACTCTTTTCGACTTGAGCTGCGATTTCTGGGATTTCCTGGTTCTGCTAGGGAAACATCCCAAAAAACACGTCACCAACAACGTCGAACACAGTCAAACACCCAGCCGCTCTGACTATATTCTTCTGGATGATGTTTTCCTGGTTTATACGAACTGCCACCATTTCGGCAGACAGACAAAGAGATTGAGATTTTTGTGCCTTGTGTCCAAGGGTTCACAGAACAAGCTAGGGAGCGGTCGACTTACTCTTACTTGCACATGTAGGCATGGCTGAATGGATGGAAGGGCGGATGGACAGGAAGGTGCGTATGTAGGGAGGTTATTACGTAGGCAGGCAGGCAGGGATGGATGCGTGGATGCGTGGAAGTACACTCTATGTATTAGATGTAAATTCGACCAGCCACATAGAAGACGAGCTTTTCTCAATGCGAGATCCATACCCGCCGCACTAGGTTTCGCGCGAACTTGATAAGGGCTCATGCATGTCGCGTTTTGGTTGAAGCTCACCCGAGGTATTTCCTGGTTCATCTGCATCCAGATTGCGTACACTCTGAGGCATGCGCTCGCAGACCCCATTCAATGTCACTGATCCAATGTAGAAACGGGTTGCAAGAACCGTTAAGAAGACCGGGTCAGGCTGTGCGGGAGCCCACTGGCGAGACGCCCTCCTCGCTGCTGTTTCGGCGCCTGCGTGCTGACGACGAAGCCGCCTGGGACATAGAACACAGAACTGCTAGAAACAATTCCCTCGAAGTATCTTCTCAACTCAATTAACTGGGCCTCGCCTTTGCTCGAAGCAGCTGGTACTGAAGCATTCTCACCTTTTTCAAGGACTGCATCCTCACACGCGAACCCTAGGACGCATCAGACCCAGCAGCAGGGTGACGCGTGGCGACGCAGAGGAACAGGAATGTTGATGGGTTTCACGGCACGTGCAAAGCCGCGAAGACTCAACCTAGTGCCGTCTAAGGCTGATCAGGAGGCACTGCTCAGCGAGACTATTCAAAACTCAGGCGCACTCTGCCCGACGATTTTTTCTGTTGAGTTGTTATGTGGTACACTTTGGAGAATCCGGGTTCCAGTGTAGACTTGTTTGACGTCTTGCTATACATGCAAGGTTTGGTTTGCGTGGTGATCTTGCGGCAATCCATGTATCAGGTGCTCGTTACATGTTCCAGGTTTGGGGTCTAGCTGGGGCGGCTAGGGGCCAGGCCTGGGATAGTTTCATCTTTCACTGGCTCCATATATCGACCTGACATGCCTTTCTCTCCCTGGTGTCACGGAGTTCTGCTTTCCCATGCATTCAATGAGCGCAGGCCATGCAGGCCGTATGTACGGACAGCTTAGATTCGCCTATTGCACGTCGGGCCTGTGCCGCATCCAGACAATACGAGACCAACACCCACGCCAGATCCCTTTTTTGCGGACGGCGCGCTGGATCGGTCTGCGCTTGGCGCTGAGCTTCGTAGTATTGAGCGCATGGCAGCATCTGAAGAGCTGCATAGCATTCAGTAGTTAAACAGCTAGGGTACCCAGTTCGCATGGGTCGCTGCCACCTTCAAGCAAAACGATCTAGCAGCCAACATCCAATCCCAATGGCCCGCACTTCACCACGAAGCTCACGCATTTAGCCCTGGCAGTCGGAAAGGTGCCTGACGCAGCTGGTGCAGAGGAGACGAGCGGGCTCGCACACTGCACATCTTCAACCAAGTCTAGAGTCTGTAGAGAACGCTGTGGTCGGACTCAACGTACGTGCAAACAGCAGTGATGACACGTTGAAATCTGCAGCAATGCAATGCGCCGTCGCAGCAAAGTGTGAACAAAGACTCTCATCCAGCTGAGAAGGATGAGACTGGATGGCTCAACGGATAGCGCTTGAGTGACCAGCGAAGGAAGCGCATGAATGGTGGCCAACCACTCGCACTCGACACAATGCCTTTGGCGAGCACCGAACTGGGTAACAAAGTGTGCGACAGGGACAAGATTCGCACACGTTAGTGAGGTAGGAAAGCAGGATTGTTGCGACAGAAGTTGTTTCTCCTGGGGATCAATTGTTAGAATGAGACATCTGACTTTGGAGCTTGTGTCCTGTGCTGTTTTGGACACTGCTTCTGCTCCCAATGCTGACCTGCTTCCTACAAGGCAGAAGTTAGAGCGTCGGCAGAGAAATCTGAAGAGTCTCAACACGCTGAAGACAACCGTGCTGCGAGGAGAAACTTCCAGGATACGCAGCGCATGCTACTGCACAGACCATCGGCCGTCGCTGTGGAACGCCCAGTCTCAGGGTCTCGCACGCGGGATGGTCGCCACTGCACCTAAGCTGGCGCATCCGGTGCTATGTCCAGTACGGGCCGATTTTTGGGCACTTGCACCTTATGAGGTCAGATCTACTAATACCTCAGAGCTGCAAGTGAAACTGCGGGAATCTTCGTCGATTGTTTCTGTGAGCCTTGTCTTCCACTTTGAGCTGCCAATTGCCTGGCTTACATACTATGCCAAAATGCATCAACATGTCATGTTCTGAAAATCTAGCCACAAACCAAGATGGACCCGACGGTCAACGTGCTGCGGAGGCACGGGTACAACAGCACGAGCTGAAGAACACATCGGATGATGTGCAAGAAGAATCATTGCGTTTGGGTTGGCTGTTCCAGCTACTGCTCTTGACTCTTGGTTGTTCTTGTGGTCATTGTTCTGGGGGTGGTGGTTTTGGTGTTGGTGGTAGGGTGTGGGGCCTGTTCTCCTAGTTGGCAACATTCAATGTGCGAGGTATGGGCAGGGGCATCCTGGTCTGAACACGTGTCCCGGACCCTTGTGCAACTCCGAACTGAAGTCGGCATCAACCCCACTGCCCAGCCGTACATACTCTCTACAGGCTGCACCACGGTTTGGAGTGGCATCTCGGTGAGAGAACACAGGAGCCCTGCATTCAGAAAGGGTTGTCGGAGCTTTGAGCGGGAGGGATAGCTGCAGTCGTCAAAATTTTCGGTGACACTGATGGGCTCGACCCAGTCCTGCAGCTCTGCAAGGCCTTGTGCCCTTCGACATTCGTCATTCGGAGGTGTTCGCCGTTGTGCTCTTGCGACTGTTTAGTGAACAGCAACGTTGAAATTAGATTCCCCACCCTTTTGCTCTTTTTCGTTTGGGTTCCCTTATTATGCCCTTATTGCTAGCGGGCTACCGGGGAACCTAGTGAGGAAGCAGCCTTGCGTGCGCTGTAGATGCTTCAACTTCGTAGCTCATTCGAGTTGCAGCAATGCAGCACGGCTCTATCGTGTTGACAAGTAGAGCGGGGAATGGCCTCGAGTGCTGCCCGAATTTTCCAGAACAGTAGCTACCGTAATCCGCTGGAATAGTTGATCGTTGACGAGTCAGAGAGCAGCCTGCGATAAGCCGTGAAATTGACAGCCACGGACTCGACTGAAAAGGAGCTAGCAGCTAGCAGCCAGAACTAGCAATTATAGACAAGCTGAGAAGAAGCTTAAAGAGGATGTTCCTGGGGCCATGCGGTTCGATGTCGTCGTCAGCGAGGGCAAGACCCAGCAGCAGCGGTTCGCTGGGGCCTCAAACAGCTGACATGCTGTCTTTGTCAGATTATTGTGAGTCTTCTCGCGTTTTTGAAGGCTTCTTTGTGGCACGTTTAGCTTGACCCCTATGGCGGGGCTTCCGCCATGACTTGCATGTTCCCAAGGTTTGAAAGTCAAGCTTTTACTTTCGGAGAAAAGAAGGATAAGGGTCTCTGCTTCTTCCATTCGCTTCTTGCTGCGCAGATGCTCGAGGCTTACTCCCTTCAGCCGAACCTCGGCTTCCCGGAGTTCTTCGATGGCCTGTGGGGGCTGCATGGGGGCTGCACTGGGGGCTTGGGCCATCCTGTAGTTACTAAGACCTAAGACTAATGCAACCCGAAAATCCCGAAGGCTGCTTTGTGCCAGGCGTATTGCATCTGAACGAGAATGACGTCGGCTCTCGCATTGAGCTTTTCTTCAGCATGACAGTGGCAGAGGCGCTTAATGCATCTGGCTGGAAGCCGTTGGTGCCAATGCAGCATGTGCCCCGCTTGCCTCCATCACAAGCAACAGAATTCCATCACTTCCGCGTTGAATCTGCCAGTCGTGTGCCCCTCAGCAACATTGCTTCCACGGGTTGCAGGAGGCCTGAAAACAGCTCAATCTGCAAGAGTAACTGAACTCGAGATTTGAAGGGGGTTGCAAGGGGGTTGAAAGCCAGTTCGTTTCTATTTGCAGGAGCAACTGAAAGTCGAGCCTCGCACGTCCGCAACAACACTTTCTCAAGTTTCGAGTCTGCCGCCACATGGCTTACCATTCTCCTTTCGCAATTTTGATGCCGCGGGCCCATCCTCATAGTGCCAGGAACCGGACAAGGCACCCATGAAGATTGGCGAGTGGAAGGCCCGAGGGAGACTGGAGCGTCTGCAAGTTCTGCCAACGTTGCCGAGGGTGCGGGGGCCGGTAAGATAGAGAGCAGCTCTTCGCACAGCTTCTGCCAAGGCTGGTAGGCTTTGGTGCCAGGTCGCTCGATCTCATGACGCTCTTCAATAGTACCCAGCCGCACGTGCAGTCTGGGCTTCAGTGGAGTGAGTCGTGAACCTGCCTGGGGTTTGCATGAGTCGGTTTTGTTGTGGTGTGCAATCTGCTAAGCGTACTGTCGTACTGTATCTTCTTGGCCTCAGCTCTTGCTGCGCAGCACGCTTGTTAATGCCTCTAGCTTTGGTCTGGGCATGTTTTCCAGCTCGTGATCACAGTCCTTGGCCTGTTTGACAGACTCCAGTCCACAGACTTTACTGTTTCGATAGACTGTGCTCACTTGCGGCTCTCTGCTGCCCTGTAGACCACCTCAAAGTGCATGATGTCCGAGAAACCTCGGTGGCATGAAAGGATACTGCCTGAAGACCAGGCTGGAATCTGTGCCGAAACTGGCCGGCTCTGCACAAGACTAGCTGATCCAATGACGATCGGGCCCTACACAAGTCTGCAGCTTGTGGAGTCGAGTGCGGAATGCAGTTTGTATTCGGCGCTGCCATCCAAGCCAAGCATGCCTCACAGACTGGCAACATTCCACCCGCGGCCGCGACCCCCAGTGGCAAGGACCAAGGCCAGATAGGAAGTTTCTTGGGGGCGAGGGGCAGCCCATTCTGGCCAAGATGTCGGGCTGCAGCCTCAGCAAGCAGACGCGAGACGCGAGCGATGCGAAAGGGTGCAGTGTCCATGCCTGGAGGTCGCAACACCCGTATGGCGCAATGGCTCGACTATAGGCGCTCACTGACGGCCGTGACGAGTTTGTGCCTAGCCGTTAGCGGCCTCTTGTCTTGTGCCAAGGGGATCCTAGATCACATTCTGCGTGCCATTGTCATAAACCGTCATTACACATCTGTTACATATTGCAGAGCTGTTGACCCTTATACCCCCCTACGAACACTACAGACGGCAGCGGCTGCAGCTAGAAGAGCTACGAGGGAACGCCAGTGCAGGGTCCGTGTCACCATCTCCGACGCCCGCATGCTGGTTGGCACCTTTATGGCCTGGCATCCGAGCTTGGGGTGCTTCAGGGCACACTGATTTCCGGTTTCTGCTACATTTCCCACCCTCCCACTGGCACTGATTCGATTCTTGGAGTCTTAGATTGTGCTTTCAATCCCCTCTTACAGCGGTGTGCAATGGAGAGCCTGTGCAAAGTTCAAGCACAAGCAGCCGCTCCAGTTTGGAACCTATCGGCACACTTGCATTTCGAGGCTTTTGACAAGTACATGAACGTAGTCCTTGCAGACTGTGAAGAATTTCGGAAGATCAAGCCTGGCCGGCAAGTTTGACTGGTGGCGGCCAAACCGGCTTCAACCGATTCAGTTTTGTGCACAAGAGATTCGTGATGTTTGGTGGACGGCATAGCAGGGCTGCATCACGCTGACTGTTTCTGCGGACTTGCGTTAGGCTCAAGGTCCCAAGGCGGATCCGGTCTTCTGTGCCCATGGCTGAGGCGTTGACCTGTTGCTTGGCATGGAGGACGGAGATTTAGAGGACTGGGAGCTGGTCGACAGCGCTGAGGCTAGGGCCCAACAGGAGAAGGCCCGTAGCCTGCACCACAAGAAGTGCGAGCAGGAGCATCGTCAGGCCGCAGAAGCGCACCGAGCCCTCATCAATGCACAGCAGGCGGCAGAGCTGGGCAAGCTAAGAGCCAATGAAGCGTGCATCGACGATGTCCATCGGGTCTGTTGCATTCCAGGCACTGCCGCAAGTATTGTCGGAATTCTTCTGGAAACTCCTCTTGTTATTCGTACGAAAACGGAGCACCGCTTCGGAGATGGGCAGAATATTATCATTACTGGCCTCTCTTTGAAGACTGGTGCGCCGCATTCTGCTTCTTCTTTTCTTTGCGAGCTCAGCCGAGACCACGACCCCTGTCTGCAGAGTTTAAGCGAACTTCTTGATCCATAGTGACAGTTCCCGCAGTGTTCTATATATCCCTGCGCATCTAGCAGGTCGCACGCTACGTGGACGAGTGCAGACTGTCGCTACCAGGAACTGCCAAATGCCCGTGTGAACCAGAGGAAGTTGAGCAGTTTATTTGCCTTGACCACGCGGAAGTCAAGCTGTCCATCTCTTCATGGGGTATGGGGCGCACACCAATCACCCACAGCGCTTTGCAAGCCATAGCGCAAACTGCAAAGGCTTCGGGACTGGGCTGTGCAATTGAAACTGCTCTGGCGACCGTCCGAACTGCCTGTGGGGGTCTCCAGCACTGTGCAGAGGCCTTGGCAGGACACCTCGAGCATAGGCAGCGATTGACAGAAGACGGTGGTTCGGATGCTCTGATACAAATCTCCTCGGCCCTCAAGAACGTGAGCGGAGCCAGTGTTCCTGTACTGGAGGTGAGCGCAAAACACCAGTGGGATATTCTTCGCGAAGCTGTGCAGCCTGATCACTGGATCTCATCTCGAACATGCCATGAATGTATGGAATGCTTCAGGCCGCTGCGGAGCCTTCGTGTGGAGAGGGAAATCCGAGAGGATTCGGACGGTGCAGATGGAGCAGACTGGAGCTCAGCTCACCACTGCCGTCACTGCGGCCGAGTGGTCTGCCACAACTGCGCAGTGGTCCGTGAGTGCGTCCCTTGGCGTGGTGAGTTCCAGCCCGTGCTTGTGTGCAAGCCCTGCAAACCCGTGGTGCTCTTGAGACCCTCGGCTGCAATGGGAAGCAGTGAGAGGCAGAACAAGCCGCACGTAACATCAAGTAAGACCTGCTATCGAAGTGCTGGACCGCGGCTTGAAGAAGGGGGGGCGCTACGGTGCGGGCAAGGTGCTTTTGGGACCTGACACTGCCGTCTAAGGAAACCTTTGTCTCCAACACCTGCAGAGCTTCAACGCTCAGATCGAACTGGTGGCCGCTGGCCTCAGCCCACCTGCGGAGCCGACGAAAGGAAGGGGGAAAGGACTGAAAGGACCCCCGCCCATCCCGCCCCCACCACTCAAGGGCAAGGGCAAGGGTCGAGGGACTCTCCAGATCACCGGGGACGCAACGCGTGGCCGCGGCTTGGGAGCTTTGGGCGAGGACATCAAGGATCAACTCAGCCCGGGATTGCAAAAAGCCAGAATAACTGTCCTGTGGCTACTTGCATCTCCTTTGGTCAAGATAGCACTGTTCTCTCCCTCAGGTGAGCTGGCAGATTTCGTGGTGGTTCCTGCCGGCGTCTCCGCCAGGCCCAGGGCAGCCATCAGCAAACCCAAGGAGGCCAGGTTACCGAATTCGGCTATCACGCTTTGCTCTTGTTGAGGAGGGCGCGTGTCATTGACTAGCCGTCGCTCGGAGTGTCGTGCTTGGAGAGCTTCGGGCTTTGTCTTCTATGTTGTCTATTCTATCTCAAACTCGCTCAGCGGAGATCGTTCGCAAAAGAGAACTTGCTCGTAGCCAGCTTTTGCACCAGACTGTTGGATGGTTCGTAGCTGGTAGTTTTGTCTCTAGAGTCTGGAGAAACTCAATTCCACAGCGATCTGGTCATCGAGCAGTACGCACGAACCAGTATTGTCAGTACTGCAGGGTAGTTTGCATTTCTTTTTTCAGCGGAAGTCCTGATGCAACAAGTTGAACTCACTTTTGGGAACTGTGGTTTTGGGGGATATTTCTTTCGCTGGGATCTGTATAATGCTTTGCATGCTTTGCCGAGGGCAGGAAACAGTCGGCATAAGGTGGTGGTGCAGTGTAGAGGTGATCATCTTGACCAAGCACGAGAGCTTGAAATGGCACGTGGCAAGCAGCTTAGCTCGTGATTGGTAACCCGGGCCAACAGCCATGAATTTGGTGTCATGGAAAGGTACAGGGTGAATCTATCGAACTTGGGACCGTGATGAATACTGACAAGAAAACGTGGGCAGGAGTAGGCGGACAGTGACCAATCGCAAACTCTCTTCCTCACACTGCTGCTAGAAGCCCAAGGCAAAGGCTACCGTCCCCATCTTGCGGAGATTCTGCGGTGCCTGAGAAGTCTTGAGCTCCAGGAGTGCTGCTTAGGATTTGGCATGGCTCAGCATTCTAGACTTGGATTGCGCCTGAGTCGTTCAGTGCCGGGAACGCACTGTCGGGGACTTGTGGAAGCTGGTAGGGTTGTCTTCCCGCCACAGAAGCCATGAAGGCCAGGGAGAAGTTTAGCTGGAGGCACCAAGACTTCAGAACGCTTGTGACAATTTTTCAAGCAGGCAGGACATGACTTAAGGCGCACTTGCCAAACACAAAACCTTCTCCGCTAGGATGGCTCCAGCACGGACGTCTGGTTTGATGCCCTGGAGCAGATCCTTCCACTCGAAGAAAAGCTCTCGGAGGAAACCATCGAAAAGCTCCAGGCTGGTTCCGAATCGTTGTGCGAGCATGCTATTGGACGTGCAGCTGTCGATTGCAGAGCTTGACCGTGAGCCGGAGGCTGTGAAGCCTCAAGACGAAGAAAAGTTACGGGAATATGAACAGCACATCCGCGTCCTGTCCGAACCTGGCCTGCTCGTAGCGAAGGTCATGGCTGAACGTAGGCAGCATGTGCAGCCCAGGTTTGCTTCTTGCCGTGCCCGAGCTGCCAATGCGTTGGCGCACTCTGCGACTTCTACGTGACCTGAGAAGCGAGCAGGCTCGCTTCACTCCACACCCTTGTCCATGTCATTTGCAGCACCCGGCTAGATCGTTGCCGCATATACGATAAGGACCTTTCGGGGTAGCATGATGATTGTTCTCGGCCCTTAGGACGGATTCATCTCCAAGTGTGCTGCCATTCAAGCAGCCTGTGCTGCCCCACTCGTCTGCAGTACAGACGGCACCTGGGTGCTCCGGAGCGAGGCTCCTTACCTTGGAACTTGATCTCAGCTGAAAGACGTCGTTTCAGCTGTGACGAAATTCGTGAGACTGCATGTCTGGTTACCCATATCCAAGGTCAAGAACGTCATCGCCGCGCATCCTGCCTGCAACACAGCTACAAGTAGCACGGCTGACCGCGTAGTTTAGTGGACCACATGTCAGCGACTCCCTCAGACAGTTGCAGTCGAAGAATTCAATTGATGTGTCGTGTCGTCGTCACACGCCGTCTGGATATGGAGCAGAAAGGAGTAGAATCGAATAGAACATTGAGTAACTCCCATGATCCCGTGATTGGAGCAGGCTACACCACGGGATCCAGCCGAGCTGCGAGAGGTTGCAGGAGCCGATCCTGCCGGAAACCTCGACAGGGTTAGCCCAAGCCGATGTCTCAAGCGGCCAGGAGCTCGTCTCACGGACCCAGGCCAGCGGAGTGCCGGGTTGACTAGGCCAGAGTCAGAGGTTGATTTCGACCCTGAACGCATGCTTTATGGAAGAACGGCGTCGGATCGTTGCTATGCTCTGGCTCACTGAAGCAAACCAATCCAAGCATGGACTGTTTCAGAGTGGACAGGCTGCATCGGACTCCATCAGGCCAATGCACTGCTTAAGCAACTGAACACGGCAAGGTTGGCAGTGGCAAGCTGTTGCTGAGAAAGCTGTGGCAAGCAGGCAGGGCTTGGGATAGCTGCGCCTCCAGCAACACCTGCTTGCTGCTGCTTGCTCAGGGTGAAACATGCGCAGACGTCATGTCAGCGTGAAACGTCCAATGACTCTCCGTTCGCTGCCAGGAGAGAGGCATCAGTACAAGGACTTTGACACAAGAGGATTTGTGAACACGTTGGCACCTGTGCTTCTGGAGGGAGACGCAGCATGCGCTATGCAAGAGCTGCTCCAGCGCTTCTTGGATCTGCGCAAACGCCATGCCGAGCTCTTGTCCAGCTGCCCGATGGAAGAACTGGCACATCAGGACTTGCGGGTGGCCTTGGATAGCATGATGCTGACTTTCCAAGACCTCGAAGCACAGATGATCCGGTGCTTGGAGCTTGGTGGTCGATGTCTAGTCGCATTGGGGCAGTGGTACGAAGCCAAGCCCGTGAAGAGCCTCGCTGAGTCCACGGTCCTTGCCCGGGCCATGGATCAGAACCTGCAGAGCCTGAAGAATCTGACACGCGGCTTGCAGGACGCTCAACCTCACGATGTCAAGCTGACAACAGCCGCTAAAGCTCGCAGCAGATCGAGTCTGCATACATGTAGGCTGCCCAAAGCCTTCAAACGAAAAGTTCCACCCGAAGCTCGCAGAGCCTCGAAGGGGACGCGCCCAACAGCACCATCCTCGGACGAGGAACCGAGACAGAGGGCGACGGGCCTGCGAATCCATGATGCCCAGGACCAGGACACATCAACATGCAGACGTCCTCCGTGACTTAATTTGGCATGATGGATAGTGAGGATACTTAGTGGTGGGGTTGCTGCTCAGGAGCGTTGCGGATCCAGCTCGGAGGAGACTTGCGACAGTGACGAAGCGACCTGGCTGCGACACAAATGCGTGAAGCCTCGTGGCTTAGTGATTGGTCTCCTGGGATGTCATGGCTTGTGTGGACTTGCGACGGCAAGATGCCGATCCAAGGGACGACCTCGGCGAGATCGCGACTTTCAGACTGAGCGAAGCTGAGACGACTCGGGCTATCTCGGGCTTGTATAGAACTAGCGCCCGTGCGGTGACTCCTGGATGTCGGGGCTGTTAGGGTCCATTAGAGTGGGCATGGTGACTTCTCGGATGCACAGGCGACGAGGTCACAGAAAAGAATCTGCGAATGTTGCGTTATAGAAAATATGATCCTCGATTCTGGCCAGGTCCAAGGGCAGAAAGGACGACGAGAAGGAAGTGAAGCGCACACTTGGCACCACGGCTGCCTGCGGCTGCGGTTTCAGACAGACTTGTTGTGTTTGCGAGTGGCCGCTGGAGAGAACCTAAACTACAATGTGGGAAGATTGAGGTTTGTTGCTATTTAGACATGACCGGTCATCCCTGTCAGCAACACCCTGACCCAGGTTTTGTAGTTCTTCGAGGCTGGGACGGTGGTTTTACACGTCCGATGTTGAGTCGGTCGAACGTTGCCACATGACATGACTTTGTAGAGTTTCGTAAGATGTGGAGGAGTGAGGGCTCGCAATCTGGACAGACCGGTGATTGCGAAGTGGCAGAGATGGTTTGCTACACACTGTGGTTCCGCGTCTTTGCGGGTTTCCTTTTGGGGCTTGACGAGGTGAGACAATTGTGTCGCTGATGGCAGAGGCATTCTCGCCGGTGGGCATGTTTTTTTTCAGAGATTCGGTCATTGCTTGTGACGCATATGCTTCTAGTGGGACAGACATAAAGCGGCGGCTAACAAAGCCGCACCCTGGCCAACATCTCTTTGCAAAGCCGTGTAAGTGCATCTTGTTCTTCGACTTGCTCAGGAAAGAAATTCGCACGTCCATCGCTTCGCAAGTCTCCCCTGCTGCAGGCACCCCCTCCTTCTGGCCCCAAGAAGCCGGACATCCAGCCCGGACCTGGCCGTGGGCAGGCGAAGCCGCACTGAACAACTCCCAACTTGTCTGTTCCGAAGCGACTGAAATCGTGGTTGTGACCCTGAAAGCAGAGTCGCGCAGTGGCAGGTAGCTGGACGTGGAATGCCGGCTGCGCTCAAGCCTTAGAGCTGGCTCCAGCCAGGTGAGTCCTCGAGCCCGGGAAAAGGAGGAACTTCCTGAACCTTTTTACCTCTTTGTTGTCTTGCGCTGGGATGGACAGAGGACAGCGAAGGAAGCTGGAACAAGGATGGGTCCACTGCCACGTGAATTCACAGACGAGGAGAAAGGGATGCGAGAAGACGCCACGGCCATCCAGAAATTCTCGTGCTTTGCGAGTGCACAGGGTGCAAAGATGTGTTCCATGCACAACAGGGCTTCTGACCAGTCCAGCGTCGAAGAACATTGTGCCTTTCTTCTGCTCAATCGTCTCGAAGGGCACAAATGCCCCCGGCATCAATTTCCAGGGGAGGTGTTCGTCCCGCTTCCTCGAACAAAGACAAGCTAGTTCCCGAAGTTCGAGTCGAAATCTCGCGGCCCCAATATTGAAACTGTTCGAGAAGTGCACCGTATCCTCGAAACTGAGGATAAACGTTTACGCTAATGGAGGCCCTACAACCAAAACCTACCGTATTTCCCGGGAAGACGCCTTCAGAGGCTCCCTTGCCTGGGTTTCCCTGTGTGCTAATCATGGCCCGTTCCCTATGACCTAATCATGGTCGCGTCCTAAGAAAAGAACCTACATTCTTTCCCACATGAAAAGGGTTGTTCACAGGGGAGGTGCATTAGGCAATAGGTTAGGCCATAGAATAGGCCTTGAGGAATCTGTCAGGCCATGGAAAAACGAGGTTCCGGGCTTTTTGTGGAAAAAGGACTGCTGTAGCATCATATGGAAGAACGAGGTCCCGGGCTGCTTTTTTTTGTGCCTGAGACGCTTTGCCTTGACCTTCAAGCGGGCGTTTCCAGCCTGAACCGAAGTTCCAAAAGGCTCGGATCCTAACAACCTATTTGTCAGATTTATCAGTGAAGGGAACATCACGGAAAGCGTCAGAAACATGAGAGTACCCGCACAGCAGGTGCAAACCGCTCGAAAGGGACTGACTCGAGCGTGGCAAGTGGCTAAATACGCCGAGTTATTGTAGTCTTGCACAGCAGGTATCACGTCCAGTTGCAGGGTAGTACAAACTCATTCCCTGTCAACGTCCCTTCAAAAGTTCGCGAACAGTTAGCATAGCGAGTCCGTCGTGTCTACTGCCGTAGGAGTGGAGGTGGGATTCAGCAGACAGATCATTCATCCATAGTCCTTCGCGACCCTCCCCGGTTGTTCCTCCATCCTTCCCCCCTCATTGCGAAACAGGCAGCCTGCTTACTGTATCTTGACGTTGTGTCAAGCAGGTGCTCTGGCGACAGTCTTGTGTGACTTCCAAGTTGTTGTTTGCCATGAGGACACGGAGCAACTAATTGTCGTTAACCGGGGTGTGCCGCTCCGGTGCTATTTATTTCGAGTCGCACGTGCATGTCCTCACATTACCGATCTAGTTCTCGGCCTCAACTGTCTGGGTCAGATGTTCCAGTCAGTTCCTGAGTTGGCTTGAATCTGAAGGCCTACAGGCATCCTGGATTTTGAAGGTGTCGTGAGTTCACCGAGGCCACTCAGCTCAGCTCCGGCTGGCCTTGCGGGACCAGTTCGTGGCGTGGGTGGCCGCCCGGCCGCGCTTCGACAGGGAAAGGGCTACATACTTCCCTAGGAGCAGGTTTTTACTTTATGACCCTACACTACACTGGTCCTTAGCGAGTGGCCAGCACCCTGGTCTACAGGACCCGCGGCGATCCAGATGCAGCCGAAAGCCGGAGCAGCTTTGCCAGCTCCCGGTGGAGCCCCGCCGGAAGCTTAGGGATTGTCTCGATACGTTTCTAGGTGATGGGGGTGTCTTTCGTGGAAGGGCCTCTGACTGGATGGGGCTTGCTGTGGTGGTTCATGATACACCGCGCCTGTGCATAGTCAACGTGTCGTCCAAACAAGTGCACCGTTTTCTGCAGATGGGCGGGAGGAGCAGTGGCATTTCCGAGAGCTTACAGCGATTTCTCTAAGGCCTGGAATGCCTCCAGGGTTCCCAGCCAGGCCGGCCCGCTCGTGCTGCAGTCAACCAATCGTCGCAATTCAATCTTTTTTGAGACGAAGAGACCCTTCCTTAGCCGCGTCGCGAACTCGTGCATACTCCTGCGTCGGGTTGTTTCCTATTCCTTCAGGCCACCTGGAATGCCGCGAGGAGCCCCAGAGGGCTCGTGGACACGTCCCAGGGCTACCCCTTCGCGATGCTTCGAGATTTCAGACTTCTGAGTTCTTTCTTCCATACTGGTGGCAGCAAGCTTTACGCAAGTTGGATGACTGGTCTCGGAGCCTGCTGCCAGTGTTCAGACTACATCAACTCGGGTCTGGCGCCGAGGGGAATGGTCCCCCCTGGAATGCCGGGCATGCCTCCCGGTATGCCTCCTGGTATGCCAGGCACATGCTGGCATATTTGCTTGTGACGGCCCGTCAATGGCTGCACTCATTGGCACACGTCGCGTAGCGGCGTAGCCTTGCCAGGCATGGGCCGCGGCATGCCGCCCATGGGCCGGGGCGCATGAAGCTTCGGCTCATGAAGCAGATGCGGCTGTCAATGAGTGTGAAGATCGTAAGAGCACGTCAGGCCTGGAACGTCTTGACCAGATCAAGCCACTGCTGCTCCTGCCTTGCCAAGTGGCTGGTTGCATTGATCGTTTGGCTTTTTCGCACATTAAAGTACAACATATTCCTGTCAGTAACAGGCTCGGAGCAGCAGCGCGTACGGTAGAAGAAGAGATGCGACTGCGATGTGCAAAAAGAGCCATGGAGCAGTGCCCTCATAGTGGTGCCAATTGTGTGCACACCTACGTGACTCTGTATGTGTGTGTGTGTGTGTCTGCGCACCTATGTTTCGAAAGGCAGTATGAAGACCATCGGCGATTGTGCTGAAGCAGCCTGCCCGTCATAGCAATCCAGCAGCGAGCCTGAAGAGTGTGAAATTTACAAGCCTGACAGAGAGCCTTCGACCACTTCTGGAGGGAGGCCGTTTTGTGGGATTTTGGCTGCTTCGAACATGCGCTTTTCCAGGGTTGCCTTGGGCAGCCTCCTAAATGCCGAGTCCGAAGTCCACGCAAGCTCCAAAGTGATAGTGGCCCTGGGTGTGTGCTATTTGGACGACGGCGAACTTGCTTGGCTAGTTGGTTTACTCATAGTGCATCTACTTCGGTGCTAGCAATCTTCAGGGCTGCAAGAGTCTCATTCTCACTCGTTCTGGAAATGCTTCGTGTGCCACTCATGCAGAAGCTCGCTCGCCTCCCTCCGGTTCAAGGGTTCAAGGGGACGCCCTCCTTCGGCTCTGTGGGGTCTAGAAGACAGCGGCCCTTGAGACGCTGGCGAGTAGAGGAGCTGGCCCCAAGACAGAGGGCGGTAGAGCCCGCTACTCCTAGCATTCAAAAAGCCATGTGGACTGTAGATGTTCGAAGATCTTGTCTCAGGAACCCCCAGGCCCTGATTTGAAGGAAACCGGGTCAGCACACATGACCACATGAGCCAGATGACAACAACCAAGAGGTCCAGTTCTTCTTGTGCCGCGGGGGCAGTGCCCTGTAGTTTCGATCAGCATGGACTTGAGGCACGGTAACAGAGTGTCGTGTTGGTCTACAAGGAGTTGCGACTTGATGCAGGTAGTGGGACTCCTGGGGTCAGGGTCAGGCACAATTTATGCAGAGATGCAATCAGTTTGGGATTTTCGCATTTTCCCCGCGTGGCTCGTCCCCCTCCTGGTTATCCTGGGCCCGTGAATGGTCTTAGGACAAGAAGGGTTATCGGAGCTATCTGAGACTTCGCATGCCGGACCGGAATGAAGTTGCCTGTGGCAGGCCACCGCCTCCCCCCATGGGCATGAGCTTAGCCGCGACCACAGCATTGCTTGTCACATTGACATGCTGTGATGACCGAGTAGATTCTGCGTGCGCTGGGTCGCATGAAGTATTACTCATTTCTGGTTGCGAAATTTGTAGTGCAGTGGTGAATACTTAGCCTAACCTGGAAGGTCTTCGAGGGCAAGTGCAACTAGTCATTCATCACATAAACGAGCAGCCCAGCTCCACTCTCAACTTGGCCATACGAGCTCCAGAATCTTGCCGCTTGAGATCCAGCACCCCTCCTGCACAAGGAGAGGGCGACTACAGGAATGAAAGCTGACCCATTCCAAGCTCAGAGCCTGAGAAGTGTAGGTGTTCCTGGAAAGCACCCTTTTTCGGACCTTGGTCCTTGGTGTCAGAGTCAGGCCCAGCAAGCGCAGCAGCTCCAGAGCGCCAAGTTCATGCCCGCCCCGAAGCTGCCCCTCGGCTCAGGGCAGTCCCAGAATTCCGGAGCTCGTTCAGACTTTGCGTTTTGAACCATATAGAGTAGTGGCTCGCCACAGCCATTGCATCTGGCATTCTGCACAGATGTGAAACGAAACATAGGACATGTCATTAGTCGTAGGAGTTCCGCAGGAGCTAGGTACGAAGCGCTGAGAAATCGTTATTTAGGCGGCTGCATGGTGAAATGCAAAGAAACCTACATTTAAAGGGCATCGGCGTGGATTGGATATCGTATCGAAGAGGAAGACATACATAGAATTGCATTGAGCGACGATGAAACTCGGAGGTACTTGTACCGTTCCGGATGCATGGAGGCGTGCACAGAGCAGAGATGGGCAACGCAGGCACAGGCTAGCAGCATGCACAAGGCCAAATCGACGAAATACCAGATATCAGTTTGACAAGCCTTGCAATGGCGAGCATGGTAATGCAACAGTATTGACGTCGTTTAAGCTTCTGGACTCAGGCCATCCTTTGGATCCTTCTTCTGATCAAACATCTAATGGCAACTTATCGTTGGACAGCCCTCTGATCGATCTCCGTGAAGGTTGCGCCAACCATAATTGCCTGCCTCTGAGGCCTATTAACATGGGTGGTGCCACACTCAGAGACTGCAGGGGCCACGCTTCAGGATTGGTACCTGAAAGGAGGTTTTGTTTGGAACAGTAGCAGCCCGTGAGAGCCAAGATGTTAACTCGAGATGTCAATGTCTTAGCGGGTCCACCAAGGTCGCATGTAGCTGTTTGAGGCACCCAAACCAAGAGCTTTGAAGCAGAATCGAACAATCTTGATTGGCTGCTTCGCTGGCTCGGCATGTGAAGGCTCGCCGCAAATGGGAGGTATGGGGCAGCAACCTTGGCAGGGCGGAATGCCAGGCAGGGACACCGCAGAGTGTAATCCTACACTATAACATCCCGGCTGTCGTGAGCATTGTCATTGTCGGGAATGGGACTTTGCACATTGAGGACAGAACAGGGCCAGTTTGACCAGAGTTGCGCAGCTGATCACGTCTTAATCTTCACGGCATGAGGCGCCAGTAGGCTTTCATCTAGGACGTGCGAAAATTTGGTTTGGTTTGGACAGCCAGGCGGACTCGGTGTCGGAGGAATGCAAACGCAGCCAATGCTCAGATCTCGGCTAGAACCGGGTTTGGACGTGCTTGTGAGAGATTGGAGCACTCGCTACCTCAGAAGTTTGTGACCTTCGGGCAACTATGTGGATCGCACTTCTTGAAAGCATGCCTTGTGATTCTTGGGATGATAGGACTCGCTGCTGTTTATCCTGATCTCATAGAGTGAGATCTTGCAGCAACTTTAAGCACATGCTGTCCGCGTCTAAGATGCCACTAGCTACTCCGCTGAAGCCAACCCGAAGCAAAGCCTCTCGACTTTCTTCATCAACAATCTCCAACTTGCCATCCATTGCGGAATGATGTATCGAGACCCATAGCCTGTTTGACGTGCCATCGGCAAGCACAACCACCAGGTCCAACGGTTTGCAGCAATCCAACATGGGAATGAAAGGCCGGCACCTCGGCGATTCCACCGCCATGTAGGCCATAGCCACACCCTCCCACTGTTCCATAACCCATTTTCAGACGTGAGCTAGCACATCTTCCTGAAGCCATCGGTGTACCCTGCGACCTTTCGGGAGGTGGGATGCGGCCGAACTGGGGCAGTATGCCACCGCTACTTGGCAGCACGGCGTTGCGCGGGCTTGTCATGATGGTATATTATGGTCACATGCTGAATACACCAAGGCAGCAGCAGTTTGGGCCGGGCATGCAGCAGAACTTTTCTCAGTTCGGGCCTTACATCTTGAAGGCTGGAGTCTTTCAGACAGGCCTGTCTCATTCTGCCCCTGAGGCCGCAGATGTTCCCGCAGCCGCAGCAGTCCCTCGACTGCACCTTGCTCCGGCTGCAGGGCTGCTGCAGCCTCCATCCATGCTGAGCTGCTTCAAGATCTTCAAGGATGAAAGGCAACCTGCGCCACTCCTACAACCCAATCACTAAACGCCTACAAAGAGAGTTTTCGTCACAGCTTGCAATAAAGCTGCTAGACGCTTTGGCAATGCAGACTTGCTCCAAGGCCAGTTGGCATCAGAGGCTCCTCAGCGGGCTCGCCAGGTGGATTGCAGCGACAGAGCCGCGGCTTAAAATGGATGGGGCTCCCGTATCGGTGCAGTCGCGTTGACCTACCTCAAGATCCGAGGATCTCAGGGGCTGTAGTGGGCTGCAACTGCACATCGCAATGCGTGCAGGGTATCGATCTGCACATCCGAGGAACAGCTACGGAAATCAGGGCGGCGGACCAGGTGCGCTCAGCGCCCTTAGGCCCTTAGGCCATGGCGGGTCCAAGTCGGACCAAGACTTTGAGGTTTTCGCTTCCCTCTTGCAGATAACTTCCCTCTTGAAGCTGGACCTGAGGCGCTTGGTAAGTTGAAGATGGCCGTTGACTCTGACAGGAGTGGGCAGTGGTCTTTCGAGCAGCCCAGGCCAGCACTCGCATAATCGCATCAGGGTGTATTAAGACACCTGATAGAAGTCGAGCGCAACTTTCCGGAAACCAGCATGAGCACGAACGAAGTGAACAGTAAAAAACGTGAGCAAGAGTGGCAGCAGGGGCAGATTTTGCAAGGGACCGAGTATGTATGTGCGGTCATGTAGAACTCGGACGGGTTCGACGTTCCGAGCCGAATGAACGATTTACATGTTCTCATGCTTATTGGCAGAATACGATAAGCCCTAGACGAGCTCCATGCCTGCTTCCATCGCAGGTATCAGCCAGCCGCAGGCCTTCCGGCAGTTCTGGTTGTGTTCGCCCTGTTGCTGTTGCAGTTTTCAGACTAATGACCAGTTGAGACTGGGCGGGAATAAGCAAGGTCCGGTGCTCGGCCAGCACAGCATCGATTCTAGTCGTCTCACTTAGCCGCTCGTTGCCGAGCTTCCTCTTCCATGCCTGGCTTCACTCGTTTTGGGGTGCGACCCAGCAACTGGGAGCTGAATGGCAGGTTGTTCCGCCTCCCCCTGGCGGACCTCCACCTGGCATGCAGTATGGACAATTTGGCCTGCCTGGTTCAGCCCCAGGCAAGTGTCTGAGGGCTGCACGGTGAGCAGCCGCAAGCAAGCGACCATCCGTTGGCTAAGGTCAGCAACGGTCGTTCACTCCTCAGAGTCAGAGTGATGCTTGATGCCTCCAAAGTCTTGCTTGCGCAATGCATTTGCAATACTGGTAGTCGATAGTGCATGCTGCAGTCTGGTTACATGCAAGCTCCGTGCAGTACTGTTAGCAGCCTACCCGGTCCTCTGCGCTTGGTAAGATCCAGCACCGCCTCCCGGACCCCCTTGCAGGCGAGCGGGAGCACCCCCTCCGCCACCGCCTCATCCGAACTGGAAGCCTGGTCAACCACCACCACCTCCGGGCCTGGGCCTTGGCTATCTCGATCAAGACTCCTGTCCCAGCGACGAGTCATAGAAGATAGAGACGACGTCGTTCACAGATGATTGGTTGACACGGAAATTCAGTCATGTGGTGCGTGTCACCAATCACCATTCATATCAGCGGAATTTCCTCTTCACTTCTCTCTCCTGTCATCTCGCTCACGACAGGTCCTGGTCCACCAGAGCGAAAACCGGGAGGTACGCTTGAGGCGCACTACTGGCACACCTAGAGTCTACCAGTCAACATGTGCAGTGCCACAGTGTCTGCAGTTTTAAAGCAGCGGGCTTGTCTCGTGATAACAGCAGTTTCACGATGAGGCAGCCTTGGCTGCAGCGGCAGCACTTGGTGCGGTCGGGGCCTTTGCACGTTGACGGAGACGGATGCGCTTTGCTGCTGCAGTTGTCACGATGGGTATTTTGTCTCTTCGAGATGGATTTGAATTGGGAGTGGCAGTGTGGAGACTTGAAGATGCGAGCGCCATTCGCAAGCTCTGCAGACTGCTGGATTCTTGTGCCAAGATGGCTGTGCCGCAATTCCGGAAATTTGTGGTGTAGAGGGTCTCCTCTGCTTTTTGCTCTGCATGCCGCCCTGAGGCTGCACCTGGCATGATGGAGGCCCTTTTGGCAGGGCCACAAACAGTCAGAGAGGTCGAATTTATTTGTTCATTCAGACGTTTGTGGCCTGCAGGTTGAGCTTAGGGGCGGTTGATTGTGTGCCGAGATGCGCTGTGGGTGACTGGTGTTCTGCTTTCGAGGCGACTTCTGCAATTGACTTCACTGCGAAGTTGGAGGAGTGTTTGCTATTTCGCTCACAGCAGTTCCCCCCCATTGCAACAGTGTGGCTGCAGACTCGTTTCGCTGAGAGGACTTGAGAAGAAAGCATCCACAGGCTTGGATGTCCTCACTTGCAGATCTGCATCTACCTGAAGTGGGTAAGTGAGAGCTGGATTTGACCCGTAGACAGACTGCTGGAATCGCGATAAGTGCCCCACAGAGAACTCAGAATCTCATCTTTCGCGGTTCTCGCAGTTGCACAATATCGCCAGGTAAAGGTGCCATCGGATGCCTGGTGCCGAGAGATGCGAGTATGGCCAGTCTCTCCCCAGCACCACGACCGTCCGAGCCTTTGCTCAGGCATTTACCTGGAAGCCGGAAGAGTTAGAGGCCTGGTTTGCAAGCGGTGGTACCTCCAAGGCCCGCCCGGATCTGCCCATGGTCCAGACAGCCGTGATTGAAATTTCTCATATCGTGGGAAGATCCGAACACTCGGAACTCTATGCCAGACTGCACCGGCACCTGCGCCCGCCGCCCCGGCGCCACCTGCCGAAGCACAGACGCCGAAGAAGCGTTCGCATAGCAAGGCTGGGGTGGGACATATTAGGATATCTCATGAAGCTGTTTTTGGCTTGGCCCTGCACGCACTGCGCAGGCCTTCGGCTACGAGGTTGAGGAGGCACTGCAGTTACAGCCGGGGTCCTAGATACGACAGAACCAGGAAGGCAGCAGGCGGAAGCTTGGCAATCGGCAGTGAAAATCAGGCAGCAGCTGCTCACCGGTTTTTCGGATCCCGAGTTCCAGGCACCAGATGGCTGCAGCTTGCTCACTTGAGATGCGGGGGCGCATGGAGTTCAAGTTTGAAGGAAGCTCTTCGCCCAGTCTTGCTAGCACCAGGAGAACCTGAAGAAGCTGCAAGCCCAGTACCCGGAGCGCAAGACCAAGGGCCACTACGACAGCATGTCCTATTTCGAGGCGGGGCTTGCAGGGAAGGGGGCTTTTTGGCCGCTCCCTGCAGGGAAAAGCAGACTGGCCCCAGTGGCGCCAGCCCCAGCGGGGCTCACGGAGCCTGCGGGAAGAAAAAGGCTAAAGGGAAGGAAGGAAGGGGGGGGGAGGTGGGTGAGGTGGGCTGGGCAGAATCTGAACGTGTCATTTGGATTTTTGGGGGCGCTGTCTGCAGTGTCCCGCTTCCCAGGCCACCGGCCTTGGCCCACGAGGTCTCATGGTCAGATGATCAGCCCACGGTGCTCACTGTCACGGCAGTCGTAGAGGACACAGTGCCGCGTCGTTGGGTCTCTAGGTGACTCTTCTTCCACGTCGAACAGTCTAGACTCGAGCCTCCGTCCTTCCTCCGAGAATCGTAGCAGCAACTCTCCGCTGAGTCAATTGTAGGCGTGTTGCGAGACGTGTGGCACAGTTTCTGGCCCTGTGCAGCTGCACTCTTTCAGGGTGGAGCCTGCCTCCAGTAGAGCTTGAAGCTTGCGCCTGTGCAAGCTGGGCGCCAACTTTTTGAGGTTGCCATTGGGCAGCCGAGCTCTTCCAGCACCTCCTCTTGCGGCAGGAAGGTACAGAAGGATCGGAACGTCTCAAGTGCAACCGTGAGACCCCCTTCACTGACCAACACATTGAAGATGATTAAAGTAATTAGTGCCTGTTACCTTGTGGCTTTACCCGAGCCTGTACGTAGTCCCATTCAACCGCACTCCTTCCGGAGTTCTAGTGCTTCCGTTGCGGCTCAGGCGATGTGGAGATCGGATATGCCCGAGGAAGTGTCTAGATGTAGCTCTGTCCGGCAAGTTGATTTGTCGTCTATTCGGGAAAGTTCCTGGCTTCGCCTGAAGCGTTTGTAGGCCAAGCCCATGGAAAGATTGCGCTTGCGTAATGCGGGCGTGGAGAGCATCTGCAAAGCCGGCCCTTGCACTCAAGGGACACCGTGTGCCGGCAGGCTTCCTGGGCTTTCTGGACCGAAGGTCGCTGAGCCAGTAAGCGGTCGTGCCCTGTCGTGCGCATTGACCATGCTGCATTGGCTTGAAGTCGTGCTAGGTTTTGGGTCGGAGGTCGAGATATAGGAAGGATGTTTGCTAAGCATTGTTGTGCTTGGGAATGGGACCCATCCATTCTGCAGCCGAAGTGCCCTGATCCTGTGAAGACAGGGTTCTGCTGATGCAGGTTCCGAGCGCCTGCGCCACCGATTTGTGGTGGCTTCGCTGCCAAATCGTTTCACCCAAGTTCTACTGTTGGTGGAAGTCGGTACTCTCCTTCGCCATCCCCTGACAGCTAGGTGGGGTGGCTCTTAATTGAACTATGTAGCCCGCAGCCCGGACTCCACGAAGCCCGATGTGCCCTGTCTCTGTGAACTGGGCAGGCCTTCAATGCGCTGGCACATAGTGTCTATGCGAAGGCTCGGGGCCGACACAGAAACTGCAAGAAATTTTAGGAAGCTCCGTTTTGCCGAATTGTGCAGGTTCTCCCAGATTGGAAGCTGGCGCCAAACTGGGATGGCGTAAGGGAGATGATCAACAAGATGTCGGACGCACTGCTACATCCCAAGGTGGATCGACAGAACAAGTGTCGCTAGGTCGCTGGGTTCAGACACCAGTGCTAGTACAGCAGTCTCGTGGTTTCTGGCAGGTCAAAAAAGTGCAGGAAGAGATTAACATGATGATGGGACTGCCAGGGGCCTGTTGCATGTTTTCTCAACATTCTGCAGCACCCATACCCGTCTGTGCCAAGGCCAAGAAATGCTCAGTTCGTGCCGCGGCCTGGCTGAATGGTCCGCCTTGTTGTATCACCGGATCGTCAAACGTCGAAGATTAGGAGGCAGGTGACGACTTGGGAGGGCAAGTCACACGTTCACAGTGGCTGTAGCCTCTGTCCAACCTCGGGCAACTCTTTTGAGAAGTGTGCAAAAAGCTCGGCAGATCTTGTAGTATCTTTAGCCCAGCCCTGGCCAATGATGTTCCTGCGTCTCAAACCTTCAGCTCCCTTTTTCCATCGCTTCGAGCGCGCCCCGCTTCGAGCGCGCCCACACCTTCCAAACTGAGGCCCTCCAAGGGATCCGAGCTGTTCCTCTACAGGCGGGCGGGGGATGCTAGCGCTGCTAGCATGTGCCTCATCCGAAGCTCCGAAACTGAGCTCAAGCGCAAAGCCTGGCCTTTGGAATCTCAGACATGAGATCTCGCTTCTAGGGCAGCTGCCGACGTCTTCATGAGTCTCTGTTCTTATCCATGGAAATGATTGAGTCCAGTCTGCCGGCCAGGCCCGATGGCGATGCGCCAGTCGCAAGATCTTCGTTACCTTTGTTTCAGGCCGGATCAGCACCGCCTCAGTGTGAAGGGTCATCCTAGGTCGCAGAGCCTTCCTGGCGCGAGCCAATGTGAAATCGCGAATGTCCTTCTGTGTACCTGTGGAATAAAATCGGTGAAGCCGCCAGGATGAGGATGGCGACGAGGCGCACGAGTTCCTGATTGAAGATCAGGACCTGGGCAAATGACGGGCCTTGAAAAACCGCAGGACAACCACACAACAGCCAGCTTTGGAGGCACAGAATGGAAAATCATTCCTTGAGAGCTTGCAGAGGACTCCGGCGAGCTGAAGGTCCAAACTTCCAGTCTGAAGCAGGACCGGACAAACTGCGCCGGCTCTAGAACCCTGCCCTTTGGTCTTGTTCGAATGCGGGGCAGGAGATGTGGTACGTTGTTGTCCACAAGCCTGCAGTCATGATTCGAGAACAGCCTGACGAGAAGGCAGGCACAATGAAGTACACATGGGTGCGAGAGCGTGAGCATCGACACTCTCAGGCCAAGATGGTTGGCCGCAAGAAGGCCTGGAAGACGGGAGCCAGACATGATGCTTGCATGTCAGTCAGATCTCTGCGAAGATGCAGCTACCCAAACTACGCAGGCTGGCAAAAGGCTGAAGGTTCAGCATGTGAAGGCCAGCCAGCCCGTGAGATTTCTGAATGGCTTCAGATTTGTTTGTTGCGCCATACTGAAGATGCAGCGCTCAATATGTCAGCATGCCCAATTCGCAAGGTTCCGAAAATGATCCTCAAGAAAGCTTGAGCACGAAAACATTTCTAACGAAACGTACTGCATTCACTCATTCAGCTCGCCATATCCAGCAGGCATGTTCTTGACAAGACCCCTAAACACCGGTTCATGAGATTTGCAACATCAGTCCGCATGGGGCGACTAGGACTGCAGACCGTTTTGCAGGATGGTAAGTGGTTGCAGCTGGACAATTCCGAGCTGGTGAAGCTTGGCGTCCAGGAGGCACTCCTTGTTGCCGTTGCTAGTCCCTTAGTACTCTGGTATGGACTCCGCTCCTGGCAGGCATGGGTCTTGATGGACCCAGTCGAAGCAGGGCTACCTGCCGGTCAACCTTTGCCGCTTGGCGGCAGGGGCAAGTCCAACATGCAAAATTCTGAGTGAAGCTGCGCTTGTTCCTTAGATTCCTGCCGAAGGAAGGATTGCGCGCCAGCATGCGACCAAGGCTGGAAAAAGTGGCAGCATGAGCACGCCAGCACCTGCTCGTGGATCCATCTTGCCTGAGCAAACCTGCATCTAGCCTATGTGTAGTGCACTTGCGTCGCACAGCACTGGTCCAGCAGAGAAGGTACGACGCTGACTCTTACTAGCTACCAGTTAAAAAGACACTGGCTGCAGGATCTCTGCTGTGCAAGTGCTCATTCCATCTAGGCTTGGCGGAGCATAGCAGGTGCCTCAAAATCGCCTCGAAGCTAGAAAGGAGGGTGTGTTTACTTAAGATCTTACGACGGTGCCTGCTTTCCGCTGGCTTTTCCTCGAGGCAAGGAAGCACCAAAATGTATGCTCGCCACAAAAACCAAGAGCAGAGCTGCCTCGGTGCTTCGGGTGACTGACGGTGCTTCAGGCTTTTGTGCCGTTCCCGAGACCAGGAGGCCCGTAATCTCACAGGTTGAGGAGCTTGGTAAGTACGTCCTGTTTTGTACTGAGTGCAAGCCTGCCTGTCCTGCGGTGCTGACTCAGCAGCCTTGTACTTCCCCAGTTAGCTGTCACCACGGCACAGAGTCGATTTCTGGCGAGCTGTTTCGCCTAACCAGACCATAGTCATGTAGAGGATAGCACAAAGTCGTAAAGAGCACGTGGAACTGCGAACGACATAGCGAGAAATGGGATGGACGCTGAATTCGTTGCATTCCGAAGCATTCGTGGCTCACTGGGGCTTAGGGTATGGGGATCTCAGAACTCAGAGATCCACGTCCATGGACGAAGCGACGGGGCGCAGAACTGAAGCGAAGTGAAGAATCGAAGCCATGGCCGCGCGGCCACGGAGAGCAAGGGCCTAAGGGCCTGATCCGAGCTGCCGCCTATGCTCTGCGATGTTCCTCGCACGAGCGGTGTCCGTGGGATGGTGGGAGGCCCAGGTTTGCCACCGACATGCCGAGTCGAGCGGCCAAGAAGCAAAAAAGCTCCAGCTCCTCTCCCTGTGATTACCATCAAGATGCCATCAGGGTCTCAATGCGAAGAATGCATGAGTGTCAAGCTTTACAGGAAGCCTAACTGCTCCTATGATCTCCTATAAAATTGAATTCAACCGACTCCAAGGTTCGTTTTGCCATCAGCACGAAGCGAAGAGGACAGCGCTGGATGCAATTCGACACTGCTTTGCTTCATGCATCGAGCAAGGAGACGTGCGACTTGTCGAATCCTGGTGAGGCAACGCGGAAACGCTGCACCTCAGTTGCAAAAGGGTTCAACGCTCGCTATAGGATGCAGTCACGAGGCCGTGGTTTCCAGCTCTGTCGTTTTGCTTCGATTCGAAGAAGTCGTTGGTTTCTTGAATCTTTCTGCTAAGGCTTCAAGGTCGCATAAGCACATTCCGAGGGAAGGCGGCGCAAGGTCGTCTCTACAGGAGCATATAGCGCCGCCGTGCCTCTTCCAATATGTCCGGGTTGGAAGCGAAACGGACGTTGTCATGAAGCGAGACTGGCCGTCCAGCGACGAACGACTAGGTGGGGATTGACTGCAGTGGCAAGTGTCGCGGCTATCGCTCCTGGGACGGCACTGTGCATCCAAGGTGAACGGAGCTGCACGGAATTGAATGCATTTCTTCGCATGCGCACAGACTTCGAGGCGCAAAGCTTCATGCAAGTCAAATTTGGGCCGATCCAGGTGCGATCCAGGTGAAAGTGGACAATTATCATTAACACATTCCGTAGCACACCGCAGGCGATCGATGTGAACGTCTTGCGGGCAGCGGGTGAGATGAACAGCCACTTTTCTGCAGGGCTCGATCTTTTTTCGGATTCAGAGACATCAGCCGGAGCATGTGGATACTCATTGGATTTGACGGTTGGAACCTGGAGGCTTCATGTGTTTTCGGATGCATGGCAACCCGCACGGCTCGACTGAAATGAGACCGAACGATCAGCTGTGCGGCTTAGGCTGGTTTTGGTGCCCGGCTGCTTTCCGAAGCTCGGCTTCGGAGCTTTCTCCTCGGGTTACATGACATGCTGTTCATCATATTTGCAACCCTTCCCGGGAATTCTTAGGCTCACATTCAAGAGGTTTCCGGAGTGCAGACTCCAGGGCCCAGAATCTTGTGTGGTGCCACGGTGTTATATGAAACTAATAAGTAGGTTTTGTGAGTCGGGGTCCAATTTGTGTTTCCACCCGATCAGTCTGTAGTCGGCTCGGTAATGGGCTCTCCTCTTTCTTGTTTGCCGTTTCTGTTTCTGGTGGCTCGCTACAGAACCTTCAACCCCCTCAACCCATCCCTGGTCGCCCTGGCCTTATGAGAATAGCTTCGCAAGCATTGGCATTTTCGAATTGGTTTCCGAACATGCTATGATGCGTCCTTTTGTTGAGAAGCGTCGCTTGATGCCTGGCTCTGTGTCAGTTTGACCATTATCGGAGTACAGTTGTCCGGATCGTTGCTTTTCGTTCTTCCATGGTTCCAGATTTCCTGGTTGCGTGCTGTCGTTTTGCGCAACTTCTCTCATTGCTCTTCTCTTTGTCTGCGTGTTGATAAGCCTGATAAGCACGGTCAATCTCCAGATTTTTCCTCCGTTGATGTCAGGAAGCTTGCTTTTCTCGCAGCTGGCCAGTGAGATCAAGAAAGTTCCGTGCCAGAGCTCAAGAATTTGCAAGCAAGTGCAGAAGAGCGAATGCGCAGACTTGCCGACTGTCTCTGGGAACCCGGGATATATAATGCTCTTCAAACCGGAGATTCCGAAGCATCGCTCGAGCTTCATACCGTTTGATTGCACGCGGCACTGCTTCCACTAGACATAGGCATGACGACAGTGGACGTCGCCACGCATCGAAGGCCATCCTCGCCGCTGAGGCAGGATGTTGCAAGTCGATTTCCGACGAGCATCTGCAGCATGCATGCACGGCGTGGAGCCTTTTGCAAAGCTTGTCTTTTGATGGTGGCTGCTCTCCACCTTGCTAGGATGCTAGAACTTGCAGCGCCTTCGCAGAAGGGTCATAAATCGGCTAAACATGATGCAGCGAAGTGAATTTGCAGGACGGAGGGTGCAGGCGGTGCTGGAAGCAGGTTTGTGTCTGCGAAGACTTTGTCTCGACCCAGCGCAGGCTGCCGTTCAAGAGCTGGTGCTGAAGAACATGTCAGGCAGGCGCTGTCAAGTTTCGCACTGGCTGTAAGTGTGGCATCCGGCTCATCTAGCAAAGTGATCAGGTTTCCGGTTTCTGACCTGGGTTGAGCGCCACATGAGCTGGCACTGTTGCACTTCTCAGCATTTTGGCAATCGTGTCGGGCCGATGTTGGTTGTAGCCTGCTGCGAGCTGTTCAGGCATCTTCGCCAGTAGCACGTCCTTCGCCCCCTGGTTCCACTTTGGAGAGCCACTCGGGCTCTTAGTCAGCATGCGTCATGGCCAAGATCATTGACCGAGGGTCCGCTCCGCTTCTTATGGCAGGGACTATGCAGTGTGCCTTTGAACGACTGTTATTAGTCCCTGCCCTGAATGGCCTGAAGGGAATCATATAAGGCAGCTTACCCGGCTGAAGCTCCCTTACAAAGAAGCACCTACAACCGATGTTGGACACACGAGTGTTCATCGACAGATTGGGGTGCGCGAATTCCTTCATGTCCCGAACTTTGCACTGCCTTGACCAAGACTGACCCGATGTGATCGCATCCCTCCCTAGCAGACAGACCTGAAATGCCCCTTGGGTCAATAACTTGCCACCGTGAGTCTTCTCAAGAGTGCCCGTCCGTTTGAAGAATACTGTCGCCTCGAAAGGCACGGCTTTGCCTTTGAACGGTTCTCCGTGGTTTTACCAGCTAAACTCTCTCATGGCGACCTAGTGCAGCTTCGAGCGCATGAGCCCATCGATGGGCAAGCTGAACGGAGGGTTTCACATTGACCAGTCGAGGCTTTTCCATGCCATGCGTGTGCCTCGATTGAAATGAAGGTTGTAAGAACCACATCTGTGATCGAGCTAGTCATTAGAGCAGAAGCTTGCTTGTTCTCAACTTGGACTGATGCCGCTGCGTGCTGGACTGCCGCACAGGACAAGTTCCCAGAGTTTCTGCTGCTCCGGGGAGCCGCGACGAGACGGGACTCCTCTGCAGGATTCTTGTCGTGCAGTGGGCTTCAAGAGACGGTTCCGGTTGCCGTGGGTTGCCGTTGCCTCTTGGCAGTTCGACACTTGCAACCGCCAGTACTGCTATGGCCTGCTGCGGGGCTGCACGGTATTGCGAAATGACATGTAGGATCATGTAGGCTTCCTCAATGTGTACGGTAGCAGCATTTGTTGATCGGAGGTGACCCCTGCAGCAAGCATAGGAACTTTGACGTGACCAACACTCCGAGCGCAACATGCAGAACTGTCGCAATCCGTCAACCAAGGGCGTTCCTTGCGCGAAGCATTGAGAGCACATCTCAGCTCGGATGCGCCTGCTGAAGGGCCGATGACGTTGATTGCCAAGCAGTGGCCAGGCAGGATCGCACGGGAGGAGTTGTGCACAGTGCAGATTAGGAGACAGCAAAGCGTGGAGGCGGCCCCTTGGCGAAGGTAAACTAGTAACTAGCGGTAGCGGCGCAGTGACAAGGCCTCTGTTCGACAGGTCATGTCTTCTCAAGCTTGGAACGAGCTGCCCTTCGGTTTGCTCATGCAGCGACTTGGAATGCAAGGCCATGTTCGATGTCGGTCAAAGATTTCCCGTGCTACACGTGTGCTCGCGCTTTTGGCAGCAGGTGGATTCACGAGTTGTCGGAAGTTGCGGTTGGGACATTGCTGACCCACCATAGTCTTTCCATTGCTTCACCAGCTGGAGCATGCTACAGCATGCTTGTAAGATCTCGCAGGGCGAATTCCGAGAATTCACAAACTTACCCAGGGAAACAACGACAATGCCATCAGCTTGACGACTCCCGCATCATCTAGCATGCCCGAACCATCCCAACCCCATCCAATCCCTCTAGACAAGGCCCCTTGGTACGAGTGCATAGTCGCACCACCATAGCTGGGGCTGGGCGCCCATGATGGACTTTCTGACTTCCCGTTCTACTGTTGCAACAATTCAAAGACTAGCTTCAACAATGCTCTCCAGTAGCAGAACTCTGGCACTGCTGAAAGCCGTACTGTGGTTCTTGTGCCTTGTAGGGGCAGGTCTCAAATCGAGAGAAGTTTCGGTGGCCCAGAGGCCGTTGTCTTGGCACCGGTGATAATTCCCGGAACAGAAGCAGCAACGGCTACTACGTAAGGATCGCAACTATGAGAGCTGAACACAAGACGAAGGATGACAGAGCCGCTGACTGCCAGACGTCTCACACCCCGCTCAAGCACATTGTCCGGGGTGCAAATGTGTCGGGTCCATGTGGAGCATGTTTTACTTTCTGATGGCCGTCGTGGCAGAATCCTGATGCCGAGGACTTCTTCCGCACCACCAGGGCCCCTGGCATTCTCGGGCTTGGCGGTGCCCCAAGTGCTTCCCGCGACGAGCCTGTCTCGGCATTGTTTGGCCGTTTCTTGAGGTGTGTGGGATGCCGAAAGCTAATGGAATGCCATGCTGCCATGCCAAGGAAATGAGACAGCTACTGCACAGAGGACAACGTTTCCTCCTGCAGGCTTACCGGCAGACCAAGGCAGTCGTGAATTCATGATCACAGTGTTGAGCAGTGGCTGCGAGTTGCACAGCTTGACTTTGTGATTTGTGACTACATACGCACTGCGCTACGATCATGTGCGTGGCAGCACATCAACTAGGTGCATCTTGCCGAACCGCTATCCAAGCCACCCGGCGGAGGCATCAGCGGGGACGTCGGGGCTGACCAGCATGCAGCTTAGCTTCGGCATCGAAATGTCGCCCGAAGGCCTCAAGAAGTTCAGGAGAAAACAGCTTGTCCTGGCCCAGCAGTTTTCCATGCCTACGTGCACGAACGTGCACGTCTCCGTGCTCTTAAGAATCCCTGGGCATCAACCAGGCGGAGTGCATGAATTATTGGGGCCAAGTCGTTGTTGCATGAAAGCGGCGACGTTCCATGCACAAACCCAGCTGAAACTAGGTACGGTCTCTTCACGCTGATGGGTCAAGCCGAGGCGTTGCACTGACTCGTCGACACAAACGCAAGACGGTCATGTCAAGCCCAGCTCCGTTTCCATTGAACAAGTAAGGATGTCCAGGGTCGAAGCATGAAGTCTCTCAATCTCGAGGGTTGTTTCCCTTCTGCTTCGTTATTCCCAGCCTTTGCCAGCTTCATGCTCTGCTACTACTGATGCTGCTAATCGCATGGTAACTTCGAATGTCAGGTCCCCCTTTTTGAGCTGCTAGACCGCCTGGACAGCCAAGTCCTCGAGGAGATCTACTTGCCGGACAGGGGGGTCTTACGTCTCTAGCACAACCCTCACAAGGGCATCCGATGTGTTCAGTCGAGCAAGACGGCTTTGACTCACTCTGAGCATTGGGGTGTATGCATGCCTCTGCACAGCGAGTATGTCCGAGCGCAGTTTTGAGGCGACTGTCCAAAACAGAAATCAGAACGACAGGCTTGCTGTTGTAAAGCACACGAATGTCATTGCAAAGTTCTGCGTCGCAGTAGGAAGCTATGTATCAAGGTTTAGGGTTCGGTCGCAATCGTAGGGAATCTGACTGCGGTGTCAGCTCATCATCTCGCGACATCAAAACGAGCACAGTGTTCCGAAGTCCAGCGTGAGTGAGCATCCAAATCGAGAATGAAGAGCCAACACCGGGCCCGCAGTAGTTCTTCTTCAAGATTGGAGTTGGATTTTGATCTGTGGCAACAATGTAGCAACAGTAGCCGTCCTCGCTGCGGTCGCATGACACAAGCAGTCGAAACAACGTGTGTGTAAGTGTTCTAGCCCGAAAGACTGATGCAACCTTCCGGGGCGAAGACTATCACGTGCTCGACCACGGCCCGCCCAGCACAGGGCCTCCAACAAATACTGTGAGATGCTGCCCTCGAGACAAGAAAAGCATTGGGCTGTCGATATTTGCTTGCACACATGTTTCACTCATCTTTCGTGTAGGAACGCGTCGGGACACATCGGGGACTTTCGCCGCCCCCATGTTTAGCCTCTTGTCCGTGAGCATGCAAAGGCCAGACAAAAAGGTTGTTTGATCAATGGTAATACATAGTTGTGGGTTCTATGGAAATTGAGCACCGCTGGTGCATTGAGGAAGCTTTGCCTCGTGAGGTCCTGGTACCTCAGATCGGACGGCACTTCAGTCACAGGTAACCCCTGAAGCAAGAAACCATGCAAGGAACCTGTCATTCTCGTTCCTAATGAGCCACCACCTTTAACGAGCATTCCGGTAACTTTCCAACGCAGTCTATTGTGCTAGATTGTGCTTGTCCGTCACTTGCAGGATTCAGTGACCCACAGCGCCTCGCCCTTCTATGTGCACGTGCTCCCGACACGGAATGTCGAGTCAAATCACGTGCGGACGTTCTTCAATCTGCATTGTGCAGCTCAGATGCATCGTGGGAGAGAGGTTGTGTGCAGACCTTGAAAGCTAAGATTTGCTCTCGAATCAAACCATGGGCGTTCTTGTGTTCGTCATGTCATACCTGGATGAGGGACCTCCACAAAGTTCCCTTGTACGAGGACAAAACCTTCAAGGACCTCGTTTCGGAGCATCGAAGCCTACTGCGGCCGCTGACCGTCGTGGAGATCCTTTGTCACATATAAGCGGCTGCAAGACTCACCCTTTGTTGGGGGCATTCGGCGTTTGCACCTGCAACCGAGGATCGGAAGCCATTTGGGAGGCCGATTGCCGAGCAGATATGTTTCTCCGCGGTTCTTCCGTGCTAGTGGCAACTCCGGTTTGTAAGACTTCCAAGAGAGAGCTTCGTCTGTACTGTCGCCTCACTCTCACATGCAGATTCGAGCCCGCCGTTGCGAGGCTGCATTTTATGGGCCTTGACACACCTGTCAGAAAAGCGAAGCACTCAGTCATCCGCACGTGTGTTGCCCTTTGCCGAGTTTTCTTTGACAACTTTTTCCTGTGGCACTTCGAGGACCAGTGGCCTCGCTGTGGATGCCTACCCTCCCGCAGTCGCGGCACTGCGCCGCACTGTGCAACAGAACCAGCTGTCAGAGCCTTTGGCAACACCGTTTGGACGAGGAAAGGATGCAAAGAGGGAAAGAAGCGGGGCCATCTGAGTAGGTACCGAGTGCTCAGAGTCGTCAACGTCTGTTATAGCGTGTAAACTTCCGACCGGCAGGCAAAGTCGAGCTTCTGTGTCGCTCCTTTTGTACAGCATCATGCTCAGGACCGTCTGGAGGTAGTTGAAAGCTTTGTGTGCCTCCGTGACGGAAAAGATGAAAGCTCCTGGTCTGAAGGCTTGCGGCTTGAGTTGTTGATGGTCGGTGCTGTGATAGCTCAGGACGTTTTGTGGCGTCACTTCGCCAAACCGGAAAGCACCTGGTGCCTGTGCTCGGTTCTAGTTTGTTGGAGGTTTGGGCAGTACACGCAACAAGAGTCAGACATTCCTGAGCACGATTAGGGGTTGCTGTAAACAGGGATTTTGCTCGCACAACAACTGCCTTGCAATGCACTTTTGCCTCTGGCACGGTCTGCATCACAACTCAGATTAAGCCGAGCTGCCCAAGATATACCTTGGCAACGAAGCACGTCCAGTGTCCTGTCCCGTACTCGTATGCCTACTCAGCACATACCTGACTAGTGACGAGTCCAAAAAGCCAGCTCTTTTGGTGCTTGCGGGAGTTGTCGTTCACGAACTTGGGGGTTTCGGTGCGGCCCAAACACTCAGACCTCATCAGGTCCTAGATCAACGTTTGAAGCTGCAAGAGGGGTCCTTCAAGACGGGCAGGGGTTGCGGCCGCGACCGGGGCTCCGCCCCTTGTAGCGATCCCGGTCTCCCCTCCCGTGTCGGCCTCTTTGGCACAGCTTCTCTTCTTCTCACACGACAATCCCATCCTCACTGACTCAACTTTAAAACATCTGCAGCACTCTGCTTCAGGATGCCGTCAATCTGACTCAATCAGTGGTAGGGTTATCGCCTGAGTTCTGGGCGCTGAACCTACGTTATGGGCCAAGGCTGGCCATGCCATGGCTGTCCTACAACTTGTGCAAGTCTGATTGGCTAATATGGGGCAATATCAGAACAGCTTTTGAACATCATCTCTCTGCCGCAGTCAGCCGTGCACCCCTGGTGATCAGAAATGGAGGCGATTCGGCACAGCAGGCAATCAGCATATTGACAGTCCCTGCCGTAGCTTCCGTGGCCCATAGTTGCATCCGCACGAGGGAAACCTGGGCTGGATGCGCGACCTCCCCGATCGAACGTGGAACGAGTGAAGCCCCCCAGCCAGTGCATCTGGACAGCTCAAGGTGCAACCAGCGTGGGACGAGATCACCGATGAGGCCGACTT